AATACAGTATTGTTTCATTTGAGTTACCTTTTAGAATAAGAGTAGAATTAGAGTTTTGCTTGTATTTAGGATATTAACTAAGTTTTCAGCCATATTGACTCTTAATAAATTTTAACCAATGTCAATAAACTACCGTATAGGGTTATTCATCTGCTACAAATCCAAAATTTGATTGTTTAATAAACTGATCGATTGTATTTGGATGTTAGTCAAACTATAAATTTAAATGAACTAAATATTTGTCCACATAAGCAACCGAAAATGGTTTTACCTTTATGGTTGATGTCCTTGGTGGCAACATACCTTTATACAGCCCAATGATATTTAATGACTAGATTCTGTTGTGTGTGTGTATAAATCTCTCAGGCCCAACAAGTAGTTCCAAAATGGCTGGAGGAAGTTGCCTTCAGTGCTCATGGGACAACAGGCTTCAACCCACGTGGGAAGGTGTTTGCATCTACAGACTCGCGGAAGGTATGCCAAAATTTTCTATGTGATTGCCTGAATCTCTGTGCTGAAAAACTTAATCCAAAAAATTTATTTCCTTTCCATTTACTCACCATTAGGCCATTCAGGATGTAGTTTTTTTTCCACCTAGTAGATCAGTACAGATTTTTTTCAGTTGAAACTGTTGCTCTCTAGTAATCACATAATGAAAGTCTGAGTGTTATCACTGAGATGCACAGAGTAGGGCTGGCCAATAGCATTGTGTTTAGTTACCACTGACAAGTACTGTACTTTTCCTTTTTAATCTGTATTTACACTGATATAAAAGTGGGCGTGTCTAAATCATGTGCTCACAATCAGTGATTTAGATTGACTGTTTTGGATTAGTTTTAACTGTGAATGCCATTAAGAAATATGGGTACACCACTATGAGCGGAGTAATGGCATGTTTAAAAACATTTTATAAATTTAAGAAATTACACCATTTTAAACAAAATGTCCAAAACAAAGTTGTTTGAGTTTATTTCGGCAGTTTAAAATTGACCAAATTTGAGAAGAATTAATTTTGGCGCTCAAACACCTTTAAGTTATCATTGGTTCGTAATGACTGTCCACAGCAAATATAAATACAAATCCTAATGCCTTCCCATTAACGTAAAAAAATTAGACTAGTAAAATGAAAGTTGACATTTTGTTTAGAATATAAGAAAAAATTTAAGACTTGACAGACACCAGTCAAGCAAATCTAAGTTCAATATCTACTTTACACTTTATTTTTCTACAATATGGCTCCCAAACTGCCTCCTGTTGGGTCCTAGTACCTGTTCTATGATTATTTTATTTGGCGGGCTCTGTTAGATCAAGTTATTTTTATGGAACATAGCATGAACTGGGGTCATTTAATTTATTGTGAAAAGCTAATCCTTATGGGGAATTGCAAACCTTACGTCCCATTCACATGGGGCGTCAGCATCAACGCTTCCCATTCACTTTGAGTGACGTCAGGCGTTGCTGAACTGCATTGTAGATCCGTTGGCGCCGCTTCAGAGGCGTTGCTTGCTGCAGAAGTTGGGACTAGCTCACCTAGCGCTGACGGAAGTGTCAGTCAATCAGATCGCTGTGTGCAAGTACACCAGCTAGACAGTAGCCTATTGCTGACTGAATTTCATTGGCTGACGCTGATATGATGCGTCAGCCCCAACTTCAGACACGCAGTCAAGCGTTGACGCTGAAGTCCCGTGTGAATATGGCGTTACTGTTACCCTGTAACTGAACACTCCTCAACAGAAGATAAACAGAGGAGATCAGCTCAGCCAAAAGGAGTTAAAAATCAAACATCCCTATTTTATAAGTTGAATTCCTTTTCATGTCTGAAGTTTATGAGCCTTTTTGATTGATCTACCAATTTAAATAACTCCTCCCACCACCCGTAACTTAGATAACCTTGTTGCATAAAGTTTATTTGCTTAATGTTCAGTGAATAAGTCAGTGTATGCGCTCAAAATAGTTTATCAAAGGACAACAGTGTCCTGGCTTAACTGGCTTAACATCTTTATTACTGAAGAAAGTCACCTACATCCTGGATGGCCTGAGGATGAAAGCAGCATTTATTTTTGGATGAACTTAAAGTTGAGTTTCTGAATGCTGTGGTAAACTTGAGTGTCTAAATGGTCTTATTTGTAGGGAGGATCCTTCAAGAGCGATGAGCCGCCACCATCACAAACATCTGCCCCGAGCGCAGCAGCTGCTGCAGACGATGAGGAATGGGAATAACTGGCCTCACACCTGTTATATTTATTTTATTTTTATTTTATTTGTGCGAGCTTCTTCAATACCATTTCAGGATATTTGTTAATGTTGAATGACTAAAGTAGCATTAGGATAAAGCTGTTGTATTTAGAGTCACATTGAATGCTGTAGGTTTGACCTCAAGGACGATAATCAAGACTAATACCTTTTGGCAGTTTAATTTGATCATCTTTTTGGTATCACTCGTTTTGACTGGAGCACATCTGAAATAGTGGATTTGTTTTACTAGAGCACAAGTGCAGAAGTGGGTGGGTTTGTTTAATCACATTTTAACACTTTGCTAGGAGTGTATTGAGTTTTGTAAGCTTTGACCTAAAGGTGTTTCCTACAGTTAAATCTATTAATCAGTTCTATTGTTGATTGTGACTGTTTGTAGGTTATTTTTCTTGACATTTCCGTCTTGAAGCCAGAGTATAGAACAAGAAACTTGTTTTGCAGATGTACCTTGCCAGATAAAGGTAGCTAAAGTCATTGTTTAACAGACATCTCTTTAATTTTAAAGTCAAAATGTTGATAAAATTCAGTCAAGAGGCAGTGACTGACTGTAACAGAGCGGTGCTTCCTCACTAGCTGAAGTGGCTCAAAATAAAGACGGATACTGGTGTTTCTGTATGCTTATTTGTTCCCTCAAGTTGTGAGTTTTTGTCTCGTTTTTAGATATTTGAGGAAAAACTAAATATAAAATTGCTATAAAAGAGAAACTATTTATACCAATGTTTTTTTTTTCTTCAGTTGGTTAAGTTCACTTACAGATTGAGCTCTGAATTATGCAGTTCTTAACCCTTAAAACTTGACAAGTGCAAGTTGCATTTACATATTTATAACACTTTGTATTACATAATGTTGACCGTTTTGGGTTATAAATAAGGATTATTACAAAATATAGACGTGTTGTGATTTTATTTTACTAAACTAAATAGATCTTGGATGCAATCTGCTGAAATTAGTATCCTTGGCAGGGTGGCAAGACACACACTTATGGACTGGGTGAGGAGCTGTGTCACTTGGGAGAAGCTCAAGAGTAGAGCCGCTGCTCCACATCGAGAGAAGTCAGTTGAGGTTGCTTGGGCATTTGTTTTGAATGCTTTCTGGAGGCCGACCTAGGGGAGGTGTTCCAGGTATGTCTCGCCAGCAGGAGGCCTTGGGGAAGACACCAGGACATGCTGGACGGACCATGTCTCTCAGCTGACCTGGATCCCCCTGAAGAAGATGAAGTGTTTGGGGTTCTCTCCCAAGACTGCTGCTCCCGCGACCCGGCCCTGGAAAAGCGGTAGAAAATGAATGAATGAATGTATAAACTAAATAGTTTTGTCCATAGCTTACATTTTGTCTGGAACTATAGCCAGTAAGATTAACTGTTCCATTAACTTGGTTTACATTTTAAATGTTTTAATAAATATTGTTTATTAGATTTGGCCAAAAGTACAGAAATCAAGTCTAAAGATGGTAAAAATTGTAATTTTATTCCGTTTTCAGTTAATTTATACCTCCAAAGAGGGACATAACAAAATCAAGATTGTCATGTTTAGAAGAAAATAAATACAAAATGTGTCCCAGTAAGGTGGTTAATATTGCTTTGTTAGGGTTCAAATGAACATGTATTACTTTTATAAATTATAATCGTTGGTTGAACTTTTGTTTACACTTTATACATTTGGAAAGTTAAAACGGCGAGGCAGACTCGCAATAATTTTTTAACTGCAAGAAAATATTTTATTTGTACCCTAAACAGTTAACACATGGTAAAAGCCATTCAGAAAGGGGCAAGATCGCTGGTTCGAGCCCCTGCTGGGTCGGTTGTCATCCCTGTGTGCATGTTCTAGTGTTCGCGTGGGTTTCCTCCGGGTGCTCCGGTTTGCCCCACCAAAAGACTAAACTTAAATTGGCCGTGGTGTATGTGAGCGTGTACACGAGTGTAGGGTGTTTCCCAGTGTTGGATTGCAGCTGGAAGGGCATCCGCTCTGTAAAAACATACGGGATAAGTTGGCGGTACATTCCGCTGTGGCGACCCCTGATTAATAAAGGGATTAAGCCGAAAAGAAAAGGAATGAATATGCCGTTCAGTTTTCACTCTTGACTTTAACTTTGGAAAATAATTTAGTTTTCTGTACACAATGTGCAAAAACCTATAAGTCATTTTTAAAATCACGGAAATGGATAAAAGATTAAACTCATGTTGGGTACTTCTCGAAAAAAAAACAGGCCTAGTTTTATGAAAAGCTGTGTTTGAAAATAAAGTTATATGTTATCCCCAAATTCCTCAAAGTAAATCGTGTATTATTTTGGTCAACATCCCACATAAATTGAAACCGCGTAGTGATTTTATTAATCTGCAAAACAAAATTAAACTAATGTAAATGTTTTCAATCAAGGCATCAGCGTAAATACAGTAACGTCGTAATACAGGAATGAGGTCAGAACCAGGAAAAAAACTATCTAAATGAATATATGAAAACAAATATAAGATGAAACATGTCTAATACAAATTATGCTAATTGTAATAGCTCAATAATAATGATAAAATTTACAAAAAAGCTTTCTTGTTGGATTTAGGGCTGTGCGTTTGATCAAGATGAACTGTTCTCAGAACAGCTTCCACTGCGAATGGACTTCTAGCGTAAAACCCGCCCACTCCTGAATTGTGGGTAATGTAGTTGTCGGAGCGCTTTCGTGCCTTCCACATGCGTTGTTCGCCTGTGAAATCTGCACTACTGTTCCCATGCGACATCTGAAAGGCATGTGCCGTTTAAATACTCTGTTTCCTTTTTCAAAACACTTGTTTGTCTCAGCAGATTGTCGGTTTATGTCTGCTTTTGGTAAGTTTATCATTCATATTTGCTGTTTTGATGAGCTTATGTTCAACAGTAAAGTACGTTACATTCTTGTGAAACGAGTTAATATATTATTTGATCAGAAACGGTGCCATAAAGTATCAGTTCTGGTTTTGTAGTTATAGAGTACATGTATATTTAACAGGGCTTAAAATAATTCCCACACACATTCACATTTGTACTGTAATTTCATCTATATCATGTGATGGACGTTAAAGCAGCTGTTTTGACTTCAACTGAGTATTATAAACCTGTTTTATTGAAATGAAAGTGTGTTTTCCATAGCAACTGCAGGGCTCGTATAATGACACCTGATGTCATATGACTTTCAGAAGTGTCTTCAAACAGCAGAGGTGATGTTGCTGAGCTGGTCATTTCAAACCATGAATTGCTACTGTATGCAGAAGTAAAAGAATAACGAGTACCAATGCTCTCTTCATAAAACACGTTTTGTTTGTCAAGACCCCAAAACACAGGAAGCTTAATCTCCTTATGTTGTGTTAACTTTTTTCTGTTAATCAGGATTTAGTGCTGATTAGATTATTTGTTTCTGAATAGCTTTACTTGTTTCTGTGAGCTGAGTACTGTATGCAGATCATATTATTATTATTATTTTATTATTATTTTTTCTGTAAAAATATTTGATTTGTGATATCAGATTTATTGTTGCACATGGTTTAATTCCTCTGTTTTGGATTGTTTTAGATGAATCACTTTTATAGTTGAGACAACTTGTATTACTTTTTAAACATGCTTATATGGGAAAAAAACAAGACACAGTTTAAAAAAAAAGTGACTTAAATGTGAATAGAAATATTGAATGAAACCTAAACAGTTTACATGAATGTAAATTAAACAATTTTAATGTAAATGAACAACTCTTAACACTAATCACATAACAGTTACACTAAATGCTACATCATTGTATTTGATTTATATATGCTTTGCTTATCTACAGTTGAAGTCTGAGTTATTAACCCCCGTTTATTTTTCCCCCCTATTTTCGTTTAATGGAGAGCAGATTTTTTTAGCACATTTCTACACATAATAGTTTTAATAACTCGTTTCTAATAACTGATTTATTTTATCTTTGCCATGATGACAGTAAATAATATTTGACTAGATATTTTTCAAGACACTTCTATGCAGCTTAAAGTGACATTTAAAGGCTTAACTAGGTTAATTAGGTTAACTAGGCAGGTTAGGGGAATTAGGCAAGTTATGATGGTTCTTTCTGTAGACTATCAGGGAAAAAAAGCTTAAAGGGGCTAATAATTTTGTCCCTAAAATGGTGTTTTAAAAAAAATAAAAACTGTTCTTATTCTATCCAAAATAAAACAAACAAGACTTTCTCCAGAAGAAAAAATATATCAGACATACTGTGAAATCTGAATGAATCTTTGCTCTGTTAAACATAATTTGGAAAATATAAAAAGGGGGGGGGGGGGGGGGGGGGTAATAATTCTGACTTGAACTGAATATTTTAATAATCTAATGCATCAGTGTGTGTATACTGTGAATATTTAGTGTTTTTTTTCATAGTCAACAGTTTGATTAAATTTCAGGTATTTCTGTTGCAAAAACACGCTGCTCGTTTTCAGCCGTTTCCTTTACAGCAACTGTAAGTAGCAATATTGAATGGCAAAATTCCAGAGGTTTTGCTTCCTGGGTGTTTTTTGGGGATTTACATTTTTAACCAGAATAACTACTTTGACATGGTTGTTTATAGTTGTTCACGGTTGAGTGTTTTTAATGTTATCTGATTTGAGAGTTTGGTGTAACTTTAAAAACATTTATAAATCAAAAAATATCCAGGTCTAGAAAGAAAAATACAACACCACATTCTTTCATATATCCATATTTAGGCATGGGACAATAATTGTTTGCAAGGTATACCACGGTTTGGAAAAGTCAAGGTTTTAAAACCGACAGAATTTTCTGTAATATCATTCCTAAGGTATGTGTAAGATTTTTTATTAAGATTTTTTTGTGTGTTTTTTAGGACATCAGTATCTCCAGGAGAATAGATATCCTAAGATGCTGTTTTAAATTGTGAAGAAATCTGTGTTTTTGAAACAAAGACAGCAGAAGTCAGTGATTCATTAGAATTATTTAGCCTGACATGTTTACTTCTCTAAAATATCATAAATCTTTCAAAAAATAGAATACAAAAATAGAATTTTTTTATTTTATCCAGACATTTAAAAAGAATATATTTTACAATAGTAATCACGTGATACCGTAAAACCATGATATTTATATCCAAGGTTATCATACCGTCAGAATCTCATACCGGCCCATCCCGATCTATATCATAGTTCTTCATTCTAAACTACAGATGTTATGGATTAAAAAAAAAATGTTTATAACTTTAATTCATGTCTAGGATGATTTTAGCTGCCGAAAATCTCTCTTACACTTTGCTGAGGACCCCTAGTGGGAAGCACTTGAGGAAGGATTATTCACATTGCACTAATTTTGTATCATTCTGTCTTTTATGTCCGAGAAGAAAGAAATGGAAAACTTACAGCAATTATAGTAATGAATGAATGATCTTTTTGGTATAAATGAGTACTTGTGAAAACAGCCTCTTCCATTAATCTGGAGTGCACGTGTCTGGATGTTTCCACATTACTCACAGGACAGGCATCTCTGTAGTGTTTCATACTGTGTGTTCTGTAATGTGAGGGGACGCATTAGAGTCTGTGTGTGACATGTCTGTCATGAGGATTGAACTTATCCAAAAAGTTACATGTACAGGGTTCGCTGTGTCTTTTCAGATATACAGTTGAAGTCAGAATTATTAGCCCCCTTTGAATGAGTTTTTTCTTTTTTTAAATATTGTACAATTAATGTTTAACAGAGCAAGGAAATTTTCACAGTATGTCTGATAATATTTTTTCTTCCGGAGAAAGTCTTATTTGTTTTATTTTGGCTAGAATAAAAGTAGTTTTACATTTTAAAAAAAACCATTTTAAGGGCAAAATTATTAGCCCCTTTAAGCTTTTTTTTCGATAGTCTACAGAACAAACCATCATTATACATTAACTTGCCTAATTACCCTAACCTGTCTAGTTAACCTAATTAACCTAGTTAAGCCTTTAAATGTCACTTTAAGCTGTATAGAAGTGTCTTGAAAAATATCTAGTCAAATATTATTTACTGTCATCATGGCAAAGATAAGCTAAATCAGTTATTAGAAATGAGTTATTTTAAACTATTATGTTTAGAAATGTGTTGAGAAAATCTTCTCTCCGTTAAACAGAAATTGGGGGAAAAAAATAGTCAGGGGCTAATAATTTAGACTTCAACTGCACATGTCTGCCTTTTCTATAGGATTTTGACCTTTTCTGTTTTATTCTCCCTCTTTCTTACTAATCTGTTTGTTTTTCTTGTATGTTTGTCCATCTGCACAGGTGATGAGGGTTTAACTTGAGCACAGTATCATGGATGAGGACAGTAAACCGTTACTGGGGTCGGTCCCAACTGGAGATTATTACACTGATTCACTGGACCCCAAACAAAGAAGGTACTATCTGACCTAAAGTGTACCTGAGGACATATCTAGATATACAGTAGTCATAGTCAACGTTTGAAGTGGAACATTAAAGTTTTCAAATCTGTCTTAAAACAAGAATCGATGTAGTTAAATAGATTTGAGACAACTTGATTGAAAGGTTTTGATCCACTTCAATTGTTGACTACTATATATATATAACAACTGAAGTGGATATATAGCATGTACAGAAAGTATTCCAAAAGGGATAAAATTCATTTATTTCCCCAAAATTCTACACACAATACCCCATAATGACAATGTGAATTTTTTTTTAAATTGTTGCAAATTTATGTACATAAGTTTTCACAGCCTTTGCTCAATACTAGATGCACCTTTCGCAGCAATTACAGCCTCAAGTCGTTTTGATGATGCTACACGCTTGGCAGACCTCTCTTTGGGAACTTTTGCCTCCTCTTTGCAGTACCTCTCAAGCTCTATCAGCTATATATATATATATATATATATATATATATATATATATATATATATATATATATATATACACATAAATGGATTAAATAATTCATTTTCTGAAAATTATCAAAAATAAAAAATATATCAAAATTATTAGCCCTATATCATAATTATTAGCCCTCATGTGAAATGTGTTTTTTTTGTTTTGTCTTTAGCGAGTGAAGTTTCATAGAGCAAACATTTTCTCAGTATTTCCTCTAAAGTTTCTTTCTTCTGTGGAAAGTCTTTTTTGTTTGTTTGTTTGGCTTGAATAAAAGCAGCTTTTACATTAAAGCAATAATGTCAAAATTATTAGCTAAATATTGATTGTCTACAGAACAAACAAATGTTATTCAATAACTTGCCTAATTAACTTAACTAAACCTTCATTCATTCATTTTTCTTCTGAAGTAGTCTCTATTTCAGAGGTCGCCACAGCGAAACAAAACGCCAACTATTCAATCATTTGTTTTATCTGCCCTTCCAGCCATAACCCAGTACTGAGGGACGCACACGAACATGCAAGAACATGCAAACTCCACACAGAAATGCCAACTGTGCCACCGTGCTGCCACCCAACTAAGCCTAGTTAACATAATAACATGGTCAAGTCTTTAAATTCACTGTAAGCTGAAGCTTACAAAATAGGAAGAAAATATTATTTACACAGTGGCAAAGACAATTACTTAATTCATTTTCTTTTGGGCCTAGTCCTTTTTATTAATCAGGGGTCACTACATTGGAATGAACATCCAACTTATCCATGATATGTTTTCGTATGGATGCTTTTTCATCCGCATCCCAACACTGGGAAATATCCATCCAATCTTGCATTCACACACATACACTACCCCCAATTTAGCTTATTCAATTCACCTGTACCGCATGTCTTCGGACTGTGAGGAAACCGGAGCACCTAGAGGAACTCCACGTGAACACAGGGGGAACATGCAAACTCCACACAGAAATGCCAACTGACCCGGCCGGCCAATTTACAGTCTGTCTGATGTAATCAGTCATTTTGTATTTTCCCTATTTTGTAAAGTTACAGGATACTACTGTGGATTTTCTTTTTTTTTTTTGAGGTAAATACAAACGCAAACATTATTTTTGTTGCAATGTCTGCATGCTCTGAATTGTGATCCCCTGAAAATGTAAAAACAGTCCACATTTTGGTGAAAACCACGGTACTTTCTTTGTTGCAAGTGTGTTTTTTTAAAGTGAACAGCTTTTGTCTGAAATATAGATTTATATTAGCTTAAAAATGTCTTTACTGTCAGTTTGACCTTTTAGTGCATTCTAACACTTTGCAATACTGTTCTATTATGTACTGTATTTATTAACATGAACATTACATTTAATATAGTTTTTATTCATCCTTAATAAATATGTAGTTTTCACTCTTGTTAATAATAAGAAATCGGTCTTGCCATATTAGAAGGTTTTCTGAAGGATCAAAAATGTGTGCTTCATCGTATCCCACTGTACACCCTCAGCTTTTTATTGTCATCGTCACTGGTTTCCTTCCAGGAATAATTAGCATCACTGACAGGATTGAATGAGGTCTGTCTGGTATTTCACATTTACTGTCTAAAATGTGCCGTCATGTGTGGTGTGCTTCAAAACAAAAACACAAGCAGTGCTGCTTAAAGCCATATTTATGGATTATACACCATTACCGTTATGTGCACAAATACACTAATGCATTTCTGCAGAGTTCAGCTCCAGCCTTGTCTGAAATTAGCAAGTGTTTCTGAAGGTGTTAAAGAGACAGTTCACCCAAAAATTTAAATTTTGTCATCATTTACCCCCCCCCACTCCACTTGCTCCTGTTTGGAAGTAATTTTCAAGATGTCGGAAACATTAGTAATCATTGAATGCTATAGTTTTTATTCCAAATGATGGATGTTAAATGTATCCAGGTTCCAACATTCTTCAAAAATTCTTCATCTGGGTTTAACAGAAAAATAAAGAAAATGTATTCAATGCCACCCTAAAGATGCATAAGGCCAGTTTATGTGTCTTTTGTCAGTTTAACATGCATTTTGTTAAAATTTTCCTTGTAAATTTACATTTTTTTTTAACGAACTGTCCCTTTAGTTGGGTTGGAGTTTAACTTATAATTGAATTTGGGACCTCTGCACTCTGCAAAAGGGTTTTTCAGCCTTGTACTGACCTGAAGCCACCAAATTCGATGTGGAGAACTACAGAGTAATGTTTATGAGTAGGGCTGGGCGAATTTACCCACTACATATCAGATCTCACAATGTTATTCATGTTTCTGTCTGCATCCCTTTAATGTTGTGTGATATTGCATTCATGTAAATTATGAAAAAGTATTACTGTAAACAAGTATTTTGAGACACCACAATATAGAGGGTAGGGCATAATATGAAAAGACAGACTTTTTATTTTGTCTATGCAATGTATATTGTCATATTGCATAGCCCTATTGATGGGTGCTGACTTATGTGTCTTTCAGGCCGTTCCATGTGGAGCCCAGAAATATAGTAGGGGAAGATGTTCAGGAGAGAGTGTCAGCTGAAGCTGCGGTGCTAAGCAGCAGAGTTCATTACTACAGCCGTCTGACAGGCTCTTCAGACAGACTACTGGTGGGTCTGCTGTCTGCATTACTATCCAATACAGATGCCAATACTTGTTTTAAATCTGCAGTACTGTACTGTGTGAAGACAAATGAACATGGAAACTTGAGTGAGTGGATTATTAAGGCTGTTGTTGGTTGTAGATGAGTGCAGTCATTAAACGTGTCAAGTTTTAATAGTATATTAGGAGTTTTTACACTTTAAATAATTAACCCAGGGTCAAACCTTATTCTCGATAAAATGACTCCTGATTTATAATGTACTATATACATTTAATCCTGTTTATTCATTTGCAGAGGTTTCACACTACACAATCCTAAACCCTGGGTTAATTGAGGCTGCATTGATTTAAAACTAGCCTAGAGCGCCGTCGACTGTTAAAAACTAGCCTAGAGCGCATCTCCTGTTTAAAATAGCCTAGAGCGTATCTGCTGTTTAAAATAGCCTAGAGCGGCATCTGCTGTTTAAAAACTAGCCTAGAGCGCCGTCGACTGTTAAAATCTAGCCTAGAGGGCATCTCCTGTTTAAAATAGCCTAGAGCGCATCTCCTGTTTAAAATAGCCTAGAGCGTATCTGCTGTTTAAAATAGCCTAGAGCGGCATCTGCTGTTTAAAAACTAGCCTAGAGCGCCGTCGACTGTTAAAATCTAGCCTAGAGGGCATCTCCTGTTTAAAATAGCCTAGAGCGCATCTCCTGTTTAAAATAGCCTAGAGCGTATCTGCTGTTTAAAAACTAGCCTAGAGCGCCATCTGCTGTTTAAAAACTAGCCTAGAGCGCCATCTGCTGTTTTAAAACTAGCCTAGAGTGCATCTCCTGTTTAAAATAGCCTAGAGCGTATCTGCTGTTTAAAAACTAGCCTAGAGCGCCATCTGCTGTTTAAAAACTAGCCTAGAGCGCCATCTGCTGTTAAAAACTTGCCTAGAGCGCATCTGCTGTTAAAAACTAGTCTAGAGCGTCGTCTGCTGTTTAAAACTAGCCTAGAGCGTATCTGTTTAAAAGCTAGCCTAGAGCGCCATCTGCTGTTAAAAACTAGTCTAGAGAGTCTTCTGCTGTTTAAAACTAGCCTAGAGCACCGTCTGCAGTTAAAAACAATTCTAGAGCACCATCAGCTGTTAAAAAACTAGCCTAGAGCTTCATCTGCTGTCAAAAACTAGCTTAGAGTGGCGTCTGCTGTTAAAAATGAACCTAGAGTGCCATCTGCTGTTAAACTAGCTTAAGAGTGCCATCTGCTGTTAAAATATTCCTAGAGCGTCATCTGCTGTTAAAGACAATCCTAGAGTGCTGTCTACTGTTTAAAACGAATCTAGAGCCCCATCTGCTGTAAAAAAACAAGCCTAGAGCCCATCTGCTGTTAAAAACAGTCCTAGAGCATCATCTGCTATTAAAAACAAACCTAGAGCTCCATCTACTTTTAAAAACTAGCCTAGAGCACTGTCGTCTGTTCAAAAACTAGCCTAGTGCGCCATCTGCTTTTAAAACCAGCATAGAGTACCATCTGTTGTTTAAAAACTAGTCTAGAGGTCCATATTGTTGTTGTTGTTGTTGTTGTTGAAAAGTAGCCTATTGATATGAGACACAAGTAAGAAAAGTGATGGATTTTTGAAAATCTCAGAATCAATGCTATTTTTTCCCCAATCCTCAGGCATACACAGATTTGTAGACTTCCTTTACTTCATATTGACAGCTATTAGCCTAGTGTGCAAAATACACTTTTTTTTTTTCGTTTTATGAGTGTATGACGACAGGGTCACTTTGACAATTTTTTATTCTTTTTTTCCCATGAAACATTTTTCAGTTTTTAGTGTATTTGTTGATTTTTAAACACTCTTTCCAAACATACAGAACTATGTATTTTATTTGAAGCATGAACTACAGGTTCTAAGTACAGGTGGAATGACACGAGAGTGAGCAAACGATTACACACACAAAATAATGAGGAACACAAGGATATGATTCATTTGTTAGTTGTTTTGATTATTCATATGGCAATTATTCTGAAGCCAAAATTAGCTGATTGTGAGATCATTCTGCTGTTTGAGGGCTGAAAGTCGAGGATGAAAATCTCTTATAATGCCATTTAACAGTGATTTCTACTGTTTGTATCTGTGTGTAATTAAGTTAGTCCATGGCTTTGATTCCTTTTTTCTTCTGCACTGTTTGGTTTGTGGAGGATGCGCTTTTAAATGCAGATTAACATGGTCTTCAAGCATAAATTCTGCTTTTTGTCAATCATTCAGCACAATGCATTATTTGTTTAGGGACTTGTGAAGTTTATGATCTAGTCCAATAGAGTATTATAGGCTCTGTGATGTAACGGATTTGCTTATGCACCTTATCTCTGCAGGCACCTCCAGACCACGTGATTCCTTCTCATGAGGATATCTATATCTACAGTCCGCTGGGAACAGCGTTCAAAGTGCAGGGAGGAGACAGCCCTATCAAAAACCCCAGCATTGTCACAATGTAAGACCACCCTCAGAGCAGTTTTAGACTGAAATGCAAAATTAAAGCTTTCTAGTCTGCATGTGTGAAAATATAGTCAGTATGAAAAGTTTGTAGATTGATGTGATGATGTTCCCAACACGATCTTATGGCAACTTGTAACCATTTTGCTGCAATTTGTAAAATGTCATTCATGTTTATTTGACTTGCTTAGAAGAAATAAGTCAAGCTTTAATAATGGGCGTATTATCTTCCTATTATTTTAATATTGGCTGTTTATTTGTAGTTGTAAAACATATTCTGCATAATATTATTCCTACCCAATACTTAAACCCAATACCTGTTAATAAGCAGCAGATTAGGAGTTTCAGGCAAAAACTGTTAATGCTTTGGTAACAGTGAGAATTTAACCTTTAAAATAAAGTATGACTTAATTTATATACATACATACACACACACACACACACACACACACACACACGCACACACACACACGTTATATGGGCCATTTATATGGATAAAGAAAATTAATAAAAAGTTTTTTTCCTATTGAAAAAACAAAAATTGGATCCAAGATGGCCGACTTCAAAATGGTCACCATGGTCACCATCCATCATGAAAAGTTTGCCCCCTCACATGTACTAATGTGCCACAAACAGGATGTTAATAACAGCAATCATTCCCAGTTTATGTTATTCCTTATTTATATGTGTATCCATATAAATGGCCCACCCTGTATGTATGCGTGTGTGTGTGTGTGTGTGTGTGTGTGTGTGTGTGTGTGTGTGTGTGTGTGTGTGTGTGTGTGTGTGTGTGTGTGTGTGTGTGTGTGTATGTGTATATATTTATATAATTATTTTTTAATCGTTTAACTGATTTCATTTATGGATTCAAAAGGCACCTTTTTGTTTAATGATGAATCTGTTATTATGAGCATCCCTGGGCCACTGCCTCGCCTATATATATATATAATTTTTTTTTCTTCAAAGTGTTACATAATTTTAAATCCTACAAATTATTTAGTCAAGAGAGATTGCATTTGTCATTTCCATGTTAAAGTTATTAAACCTTTGTTTAAATGAGTGCTTGTGTGTGTATACAGCTTTGCCATATGGAACACCATGATGGGAACATCTATATTAAGTATACCATGGGGAATAAAACAAGTAGGTGTATATTTCTCTCCTATATTTCCTTTGGTCATTGCCAGTTATACAATAAAGGTAATTTATTATAATTTATTTGTTCTCTTTCTAGGCTGGTTTTACATTGGGCATTATCATTATTGTTCTTATGGGCCTGTTGACGCTCTATTGCTGCTACAGAGTGTTGAAGTCCACAAAATCAATTCGTAAGCCAATTGCAACCATGCTTGTACATTTTTCGCACAATACATGAGTGATTCAGTGTAGCTCTTAAACACGTTCATTTATAATGTTAACATTCCCAGTTTAGCTGATATTTATTTATTTTTATTTTTTGTTTTGTTTTTTTTGACGGAGATAGTATTGTTTTGTTAGATGAACAGTGTGACCCAGGTTCAAATCCAGTGTTTCTTCTTACTTTTTTTTTTTAAGTCAAACAAATGTCATTTACACATTTCTGTCGTCTTTAGTAAGACCAGCTTATGAGTCGTGAGGGATAAGTCTATATGCCTGCAAGTTCCATCATGGACACAGAACCACATTTAATATTTTTTGTCACAAAGTACAGTGAAAAGCAGCCCATACAGTCACATCTTTTATACGTGTTAAGGAGGAGTGTAAATATTACAGTTATGACAGAGTTAAATGTGTTTAGATGAAGAAAAAAACTTCGAAAAATCACTTGATCACGTTAAAATGACAGGTAATATGTGTGTATGTTTACTAATTTATTCACACATTTGCATTAATCAGAGCAGAAAAGAGACAAGCTGCCCTGTAAGCAGTATCTTAATAAAATTGTTTAATTAAAATAAATGATCAACAAATGAATCTGACGTGACGGTCTCTACAAGTGAATTCCCAATAAGAAAAATACTACAAACTATTCATTAAAGAAACAAAACAAATGCAATTGTCTAATGCAAGCGGGCTGCGTTTCAGACCAGTTCAGCTCAATAGTGTATAATGTCTCCAACATCTCCTGAAGTCCCATTTCACAACTTGATAACAACCGTCTTTTTAAAGAAGCGTCCCGATTTAAAAATAAATAAATAAATAAATCAAGACTGTGATGCAACTGATGTGTTATGTCGTAGAATAAAATGTGAAAGTATCTTAAGTTTGTGTTAGCCACCAACCTCATTTAAGAGATTTTTAATCAAAATCCCATTGAAAAAAAAAAACATCGACTTTGGGACGAGGCAACCAGAACTGCTAGAATGCTAACTCGCTTCCGGATTTTTGCCTACAAATTGACGTCATAGTTCCTCCACTCTATTGTGGTTGTGTATTACTCTTGAGGGGTTTGTTTACCTCTGCAATCCTTTCTACTTTATCTGATTTGATAAGGACATTTCTAAGGCCTCTGAATAATCAACATGATCAAAGGAAAGAAACCGGTTTTAAACCTGTTTAAAGTTTTTTCTATGAAGCTTATGCTTAAAAATAAATGTTAACAGAGTCATCATAATCAATTTTACCAATTCTACTAATGTATCTATAAAGACACAACAAACAATGTCTCTCTCTCTCTCTCTCTCTCTCTATTTTTTTTGTTTTACTTTAACTGTACACACACATTAACATACTGTTAAAACAGATTTATAAGCCTCCCCCCTGTTTATTTTATCCTCAATTTCTGTTTAACGAAGAGATTCCTTCAGCACTTTTCTACACATAATAGTTTTAATAACTCATTTCTTATAACTGATTTATTTTATCTTTGCCATGATGACAGTAAATAATATTTGACTAGATATTTTTCAAGACACTTCTATACAGCTTAAAGTGACATTTAAAGGCTTAACTAGGTTAATTAGGTTAACTAGACAGGTTAGGGTAATTAAGCAAGTTATTTTATAATGATGGTTTGTTCTGTTGACTATCGAAAAAATATATTGCTTAATGGGGCTAATAATATTGACTTTACAATTGTTTTTAAAAAATTTACAGCTGCTTTTATTCTAGCCAAAATAAACCAAATAATACTTTTTTTAGAAGAAAAAAATATTATCAGAAAAATTGTGAAAATGTCTTTGCTCTGTTAAACATAATTTGGGAAATATTTAAAAAAGCAAAAAAATAAAATAAAAAATTCAAAGGGGGCTTATAATTCTGACTTTAACTGTATGTCATTTTTGCTTGTCTTTTTTTCATATGTCATGCCAGAGTTAACATGAAGTTTTTTTTAAATATGAAACTCTGTGTCTTTGCAGCTTATGTAGATACCTCAGACTGGGAGTTTCCTGATGTGTGTAAATATTACTTTGGGGGTTTCGGAAAATGGTCCAGTCTCGTCTTCTCGTTGGTGTCACTGATTGGTGCAATGGTGGTCTACTGGGTGCTCATGTCTAACTTCCTGTTCAATACGGGAAAATTCATTTTCAGTACGTGACTGTTTTTCCTGCCCTTTCTCATTTGTTTTACTGCCAATTAGAATTCTAATATTGTTTTTCTGAATAACCTTTTAATTGTTTTTCTGAATAACCTTTTATATATTTTGCATTTACAGACTATGTTCACAATGTCAACACATCAGATGCATTTGGCACAAATGGAACTGAGAGAGGTGAGCAGTCATTATTATTATTATCATTATTAGTATAAAATAGTCTGAAGTTGTAAGCATAATCATTTACATTACATGGTCAAAGATACTCAACACAATCCAAATGGCTTGATTTATTAATTGCTCTGACTTGAGGCTGATTTATACTTCTGCATCAAGAGCACGTGTATGCTACGGCGTTAATGCATAGCCCTACGCCGTGGCCGTTGGCGTCGCTGACGTGCACCTTTCAAAAAGTGTAATTACACATCGCAACGAGGCGTAGTGTAAGCTCTGTGATTGGTCGGCTTGGTAGCGCTGATGAGTCTGGGCGGGACCGAGAGTCGCGCGAATGGCGCGACCCTGATGGAGAAATTGTTTACAAGTGTGGAGTTCCGTGAAGGAGCTCCGGATGGAAAGTTTTGTTTTGTGTTTATATCATAGTTAAAGTTGTTGCACGTCCGCCGCTTCCTGCCTCAAAATGAGCGAGTTTGAGCCACTTGTGCATCCAGGAAGTGTTCAAGAAAAGCAAAACATCAGAGAAGAAACTCGACACAGAGGAACATTTACACCTCACTGCCAACTAGTGTTTCGGAAGTGTTAATGTAGACCAACAGAGACAGCGCGCAGAAGTATAAACGCTCAGCTACGCGCGTTGTATGCGCCGTGGGTCACGCCGGTCACTTGACGCAGAAGTATAAACCAGGCTTTATGCTGTAAAACGAAAAGACAGAAACAAATATTAATAGTATACAGTGTATCTCAATTAAAGAAAAATATGACAGAATATTTCATAAATTATACAAATTATAGCCAAAAGAACCATTGGTGAAATCATGGGAGTTGCCATCTTTATTAAGTCCATTTGAAGTCCTGCAGAAGTCGTGTTCATGGATATGCTGAAGTATTGAAAACTTACTGTATCTTTCAGACTGTCATGGTAGTATAAAGTAGATGATAAATTAAATTGAAACAAGAGTGCTGAAGGAATTGGAGCTAACAGATGAGCGTGACGCAGAACGAAAGCAGTGAAGCTTTTATTATGACACTATTTACTGTTTTCAGTTCTTCTGTTCATGATCACGTGGACAAGAAGCTGCACTGTTTTATTATACTAAATACATTTTAGGGTTCTGTTATAAAGCTGCTGTGCACGGTCAAATAAAAAACAAAACTTATTAAAGCAATTTGGTGATTTCCTGTTATCTATGAAAGAACTGAAAATTAGAGTGGCACCAATTAAACTCTTTAGGGTTAAATAATCAAAATGCAAAAAAATGCTTTTCTTTGCATCGTCTCGTTTCTAGTCTAAATAGCTCAAATTCTTGAATCAAGTAAAAATATTAGTTTGTTTTCACTTTCAGAAGAAATAAGTCAAAATTAAGAGTTTTTATTCCCTTAAAATAAGCTAAATGAGATCATTTAGCTTATTTTAAGGAATGGGGCAAGTAAAATATTTTGTTCTCATTTTGAAATGTAAATATTTGGACTGGGAACAAGACTAAAATATGAATTTTTTTCTTAATAAATTTGATAAATTCTGTTTAAATAATAAAATGCTATTAATCTTAGTTTTATCACATTATAGTTTTTTGTGCTCAAATGTTTTATACTCTGTTGAAATGCTCAGTCACAGGCCTTAAAAACACATGCACATACGATTAAACATAGCAGGGACTCAACGAAATTCTGAGGGTAAGTATAGATACCGTCAACGCCTGTAATGTAATTTACAATAAAATGTCAGACTTTCAGACATCTTTGCTTAGGGAAAAAATAAAGTATTATTTTTCTTAACACCAAAATGTAATTTTTTGTTTAAATGCCCCTGTGGCTTTGCACATACAACATAGGTAAAACAAAGCATTGTCTAAAAACTTGTATTGCAGAACACCCAAATAACACTGCTCAATTGCCAAAGAAATCCCATTGCTGCTTCCTTCAATGCTGTTAAACATAATATATTGACTCCGCATTATATTGGTATTGAGTGTGTTAAAGCACAAGACTAGAACTAGAAGAGGTGTTGATATTGATACTTCGATTTCAAAGGGAAGCGTTTTACATTTATACTTTACTGTCATCAAAAGGTTTAAATTAGAAATTAGATTTGAAATTTTTATATTTATTATATATTTATATATTATGTTTTATTTAGCATTTTATTGGTTGATTAATTGATTAGGTTAATTAATGGTTTCAGGTGTGATGTTGGTGAAATGATGAAACTGGAGTAGCGTAGCATCCATTAGATGCATACTTCAGAATCTAACCGGAAGTAGTAGGTCATCCGGGTACTTCTCACAAACAGTTTTTTTGAAAACTATATATTTCGACATACTACTCAGCTTGCATATTCTTTTAATGTGCATAGTTTTTAATGTATTTTAATATGGAAGTATGCGATTTCAGACACACTCAGGGCTATTCAATTGGTTTTTCATGGGCGCCGGTTCATGAAAAGCATCCCAAACGAAGGGCCGGAGAGATATGACTTGCTATATGAGTGATAACACAACAGCATATAAGAGCCCATATGCTGTATTTTTCCTTAAGACACCCATATTGTATTTTTCTACATTGAAACGTTAATATGTTGTATGTTGTATTTTGAAACTACATAATATCAGTGCATTGTACAATAGACTTTTTTTTTTCCTTTTTTTTTTTTTTTTTTTTACAAACATTCTAATGTTGTATTTCAGAGCACAACTAAATCAGCGCATCATAGGCTTCTTCTACATTCAGACACATTCATATTTTATTTTTTTGAACTGCATAACAATTAGGGATGCAACAATTATAGATTTGGTTGTACAATTATATATTCTGAAGAATAATTATGGTTTCATGGTTATCACGTATAATGTAAATTCAAGTTTTATATTGGGTAAGTAGCTATTTAGATTAACTGTTGTTGCCATCTGCGTTCATGCATATCATTTTAATAATAATTCGTCAAATATATCTTTTGTTTACATTGCACTGAAAGGCACGCACAACTCTCACCATGAGATGTTTTCTACTGCGTGCACCCGGAAAGATGCAAGCGCATTGCTCTGCTTGATCACGCATACATTATTTTAGAAATAACACACTTCCAAGCAGAAAAGACGTGATATGGGAACGGCCACTGCTATAGTTAATCCGGTGTGCGTGTGTATTAGCCTCATTGTTATTGGAACTTCAAACTAGCGCACCAGTTGGCAACTTGGCATAACTTTTGTTTAATTGCAGCAGTTTTTTACCCTGCAACAGAAAAGTGGCTTAGGCCATACTCACACTACGTACAGTTGCCTCGAACCGGGCCAAAGCATGCTTGTCCCGCTACTGCGCTGTTCAGTGAGAAGCGCTCTCAGTCAGCAGCACAGTGGAGATTTCTCTAGTTAAATAATTTCAGTGGTTTGTTATGCAGTGACATGCAGTCAAATATTTCGCCAAACAGTCCTTAGGGATGCGGTCACATGCAGTCAGATATTTCGCCGAATAGATCCGCCACTTTTGGCACTCATAATCATAATGCTCTCGTGCTGCAGGAGGAGGTCTGCTGAAGGCGCGCAGCTGTCGTGCAGTGAGGAGTTTGCGTCTTTAATAATCTACGGCAGTTTGTGTTCACTGAACAGTAAGAATGTTTCATAAATCCATATGAAACAGCCTCTTAAAAGTCACGTCTCGCTTTCAGTTTCGGGCTTTGGCCCAAGTGAACCGCGCTCAGGCCCACCTCTTCCAACCGGGCCAGGGCCGGCCAAGTGAACCATGCCTGAGCCCGATTCAGCGCACTCACACTTCTCAAACGATCTGGGAAACTGGCCTGGGCACAGTACAGATGGCATAGTGCGAGTAGGCCCTTAGAGAAGACTTTACGATTAATTAACTGTGACGAATTAAAGCGCAGTTAATAATAAAATCGGCTAATTGTTGGATCCCTATGTTTTCAACTGGAGCTTGTGCTGTATTGAACAGACGCACGTCACTTCATAACTGTAGCGGCTGTATTTCGACTGAAATAAATTTATTTTTGATGTCTTGGACACACTGTTTGGAGGGCCGGAACAAATTGGGGCCTGGTTCGCCCCGCGGGCCGCCAATTGAATAGTCCTAAGCCCTTTAACCTCTCTGATGTCTTGTTTGACCAAATGAAGACCAGCTTGGTTAAAACCAAGTAAAAAGCTTTTATTTTTACAGTAACAGTGACTTTGATCTTTTTACAATGTGTCTTTGTTGACCACTACTAGTGGTTGGATCACTAAAAATGCATATTAAATTGATAAATAACCCAAAACTGGAAATCTTTTCCATCAATTACCCACCCTTCACTTGTCACAAATTTATTTGAGTTTCTGTCTTCTGTTGAACACAAACTGTTATTTTAAAAAGTGTTTGAAACCTGTACCCATTGGCCGCCATAGTATTTTACTCATAGTAATATATGAGTAAACTCATAAAGGTCACTGGAAGTTAGTGAGTAAATTTAGATTTTTCAGTAAATTATCCAACACAATGTGGAAACAGGGCCTTAAATGTGCTTATTTGAATACAATTAACATGTACACGTGTTTCTGTGTTCTCCGGCACTAGTCATATGTCCGTATCCAGATGTGGATCCACATGGGAACAGCAGCACCTCCCTGTACTCTGGAAGTGATAACAGCACAGGTCTTGAGTTTGATCATTGGTGGAGTAAAACCAACACCATCCCGTTTTACCTCATCCTCCTGCTGCTGCCGCTGCTCAATTTCCGCTCCGCTTCCTTCTTCGCCAGGTTCACTTTCTTGGGTATGACCTTCATTTTCCCCCTAGAGTACTGATATTTCTTTTTGAATTGAAATCAAAAAGGTACATATTTTTAGTAAAGCAAGATGACAAAATTTTTTATTAGAAAATGCATTTCAAATGATTGCTTCATAGGAAGTTTGCATGAACTGTATAAAAAGGCAAATAACCATTTTTTTTTTTAAGTCAGATGTTAATGTGACTAAACTTTTTCTCTTTTAGGTAAGTTAGGATTATCACATTTGTTTCTGTTATCCGTAATAGCAGAATAATAAGAGCGAGATTTTTTTTGAGAAATTGTTTTAACTTATTTTGAAAGTCAAGTTTACATACAATAAGATTACTCTGCCTCTGAAAAAGCTCAGATGATGATGTTAAAGTTTTGGAAGTTTCCGATTGGCTAATTGACAACTTATGAGTTAATTAAACCTCAAACACACTGCTTCCCGTGACAACATGAGAAAATCAACAAGCCAGAATACAATTCGCTAAATTACACTGGAAAAAGAATAATTTTTGGACACATGTCCTGTGGTCTGATGGAACTAAGATTGAACTGTTTGGCCATAATGACCAGTGTTACATTTGGAGGACAAAGGGGAAAGCTTAGAGGCCTGGGAACACCATCCCAACTGTAGACTATGGGATGGCAGCATCATGTTGTGGGGCTGTTTAGCTGCAGGAGGGACTGATCCACTTCACAGCATAGATGGCATCATGAAGAAAGAACATTATGTAGAAATACTGAAGCAACATCTCAAGACATCAGCAAAGAAATTAAAACTTGGCCACAAATGGGTCTTCCAAGCAGACCATGACCCTAAGCATACTGCCAAATTAGTTAAAATGTGCTTTAAGGGCAACGGAGTGAATGTTTAGGAGTGGCCATCACAAAGCCCTGAACTCCGTTACACCAATTCTGTCAGGAGGAATGGGCCAAAATTCCTTCAAACTATTGTGAGAAGCTTTTGGAAGGATACCAAAAACATTTGACCAAAGTTATACAGTCTAAAAGCAAAGATAAAAAAAAAATAAAAATAAAAAATACCAAGGAAATGAATGTAAACTTTTGACTTTCTAGAAATTAATACAAAAATTCTCAAAAAAAAAAAAAAATCTCTAATTATTCTGGCATTTAGCAAATGTAAATCATTTAGGTAATCCTAAAATAGTAAATGTTTAGTATCATTCACCATCAGACATTATTAAAAAAATTGTTATGTTCCTTTTTTTTTTTTTTTAGAGTGTATGTAAACTTCTGGCTTCAACTGTAGATGCATGAGTGTCAAATCGTGGTCATTCAACCTTTTGATTCTTTAAGGGTAATATGAAAAAAGGATTTGGGGTCTATTTTTAGTGATGAGGAGTGGCTATCTGCCTGCTCAAATATCTATCCCAAAAGTACTTCAATTTCGGTTCAGAAACAAAATTATAAATGTAGTCACATGATTTATCTAACTCCAGTTCGCCTCCATAGAATATTTCCCAACTGTTCTGTTATGTTTCAAAGGTAAGGTAGACATAGTCTCAGTAGCCCCTTTCACACAGTGATACCGGTAAATTTCTGGAAAATTTCCGGAACGACTTTACTGGTATATTCAAAAAAGCACTGTTCACACAGGCGAGGACGTTACAGAAATTTTCCGGAAAAGAGCATTCACACATCCATTCCAAAATACCGGTAAATTCTGACATCATTCACCACAAATGAGCTTTAAACGGCTGCGCTTGTATTTGTAAACATTTGACTAAATTACAAACTCTGTGGATGATCAATATTGTGAACAACTTTCGCAGGATCACTTTCGCATGTCGAGATGTTCATAATATGTGCGTGTGCAGGCGCTCACAGGCTGTTCCACAGGCACACGCAAAGCTTGAAGGTAAACAAACAGCGACTTATCATAAGCATCTCATCGATGATTATTTACACAGTTGGCATTAAGAAGAACATATAAACGTGATCTGACTAACTTCTAGCAGCTAAATGTGTCTGGAAAAATATTCAAAGGCTTTTATTCTCATAAACCGTGCGGACGTAAATGCGTCTGACTGTTGTGATTGGCTAAAGCAGACGTCTCACGTCAGCACGTTCTAGACGTGCACGCGCTTATTATGGCAATCTTCCTTCTGCATTCACACAGCGCAGCATTCCGGCAAATTGCCGGTAATGTTACAACTTCTCTTTCCGGAAAATAGCCAGAACGAATTTACCGGTATTTTCAAAAAAGGCCCGTTCACACACAACATTTCCGGAAAATTGCCGGCAATTTTCCGGAAAGGTCTGTATGTGTGAAAGGGGCTAGTGACTCATGTATTTTGGGATTGTGACAATCAAGTTTACTGGAAGGAGATTCACAAAATGATTAAAAAAAACTATTGGAAAGACTTTTGCTTTGTACCCAAAGGTATACCTTCTGAATTGTACAGTGGAACTGTGTCTTGATAGTGTTCTTGTGTGTTTGGTCTTCCCTTTGGAATTTTCTTGAGAGTACTCAATGACTGTGCCTTTCTAAATTTGGTTTTATAATTTCCATTTATTTCTATCTTTGCTCTCAAGCATTTATATGCATTTGAATGTCGAACAAATGTTTTTGTTAAAACAGTCCTGCCAATTGGGTTTGACTTGCCAGCGGTTTTAATGAACTTTTTTTTTTGTTTGTTCTTCACAGGCACAATATCAGTGATCTATCTCATTTTTCTGGTCACATATAAAGCCATTCAATTGGGCTTTCACCTGGAGTTTCACTGGTTTGATTCATCAATGTTTTTTGTTCCAGGTAAACTTATTTACCAAAGCATGCATCTTCTTGAGTGTAAAATTATGCACATTTTAATGCTGTATGTTTTTATATAAAAAAGTAAAGTTTAATAAATTATTATTATTATTTTTAAATCATGTCAAATGACAATGCAGTTAATTCTACAGAGTGTAAAGTTTTATACCATTTACACCTGCTATTGAGAGTCATTTTTCAGAATATCTGACTTCAGCATTGTTTTTCACATAAACAAGAATGTTCACTTAGAATTGTTTCTTAAATATAAAAAAAATTATGCTTTAGAAGAGTCAAAAACTTACATACAGCAGCTTTTAAACCGAGGCGAAAAAAGCCTCCTACTCAATGTTCCATTTCAGCTGAAAGTACATCAACATGCTGAAATAAGTCTGAGCAACTTCAGGCTCACATGGAGTTTAAGCTGTGTACCATGGATTTGTTCATTCAGTGCTTCCACAAAAGTGATGTGGACGAAATAAGAGGATCTCTTTGAAATCAGTGACTCCCAATGAAAAACAAGTGGTCACATGAGACGTGTTTTAATGCTTGGAAATACCAGCTGAAAACAAGACCAAAGGTTTCAACTCTCACCTCTTTTGCAGCATGTAATTTCTGGACAATTTGTTCACATTAACCCTCTGAGGTCTGAGGGTGTTTTAGGGGCCTGGAGAAGTCCTGACATTTTTATATATATATTTATTTTTTTTATATAGACATTTATTTTATATATATTTTTGAATTGCTTATAGGGCTGGGCGATAATTCGATAACGATAATTATCACAATATATATTTTTTTAATAGAACGATTATGACAGTTCAAAAATGTTCGATAATGTTTATGCACTATGCGTAATAATGCTCAGGCATTTTGCAGCTTGCCTATCCAGATGCTGGACGCTGTTCAAGTTTACAGCCATACAGTGTTAGTTGCACTTGGAGGGGTAAGAAAAAAATAAGGTAAAAAGGTCACCGTCACAGACCTGTCAGTGACCAGTAACATCACTAAACTTCGGTAGCCTGAAGCTACTTAATTTTGTGTAATCTGACACAAAACAGAGCAACATGCACTGCAAACTGCGCAGACGACTTGTGTCATCATAGCAGGCAACCCCACAAACCTCTTCCATCAGTTAAAACAGCATCACCCTTATGAAGATGCTGATAAAATTACAGACCCAAACAAGTGTTGGTAGACCAGCGCAACTACCCAGCAGAGTCTCATGTCATCATTTTTGAAAGCCGTGCCTAATGGGAAAACCCCCTCAAAAGACAGACGAAAGATATGACAGACAACACGATCTCAATGAACACTTGATGCTTGCTGTAAACTACAGGCTGCAATATTTAAGGGCATTTGTTACGACAATGATAGGATCTTTTGTTGTCAAGCTTATGTTTCCTTTTTAATATTAAGATATTTTTCTTTGAAATGTATAAACAAAAGAAGTTGGCGTTTCTGTGTGGAGTTTGCATGTTCTCCCTGCGTTCGCGTGGGTTTCCTCCGGGTGCTCCGGTTTCCCCCACAGTCCAAAGACATGCGGTACAGGTGAATTGGGTAGGCTAAATTGTCCGTAGTGTATGACTGTGTGTGTGGATGTTTCCCAGAGATGGGTTGCGGCTGGAAGGGCATCCGCTGCGTAAAAACTTGCTGGATAAGTTGGCGGTTCATTCAACTGTGGCGACCCTGGGTTAAAAAAGGGACAAAGCCGACAAGAAAATGAATGAATGAATGTAACTTCTGATGCATTTCTGTTGGTCAGCTATCTACAACATAAACAAGAAGGACGAATAACATCTGAGGTGAAGCGCTTTAAAACAAGTCTGCCATAGTTTATGCTTGAGCGCCAAAACAATCCATTAATCTGTTTTCACGGTTTTGATTAAATTCATTAACGAAGAGCGGTTTGAGCAGCATGAGCTGGACAGTCTTTACAAACTATTCGCAGCACTGATAGTATTCTTAGGTTACCGCAGAAGAATAAACTCGGTCTGAAGGATGAGAGAACTCAGAAACTCGTTGAGTGAAAGGTGAGTCTCAATGCATTTCTCGCTGTGATGCGCGATTCATAAAATGAGAGTCTGCTAAGGTCTGTGAGATAAAATTGGTTAACACCCATGGATACAATGGAGATCTGCTTATAACAGGGTTTTTTTTATGCGTCCCGCAATATGTGATGTCAAGAGTGTGACTCCATAAGTAAGGTGAACTGCACACACTTGATTATGTAAAGCAAGGACGCGGCTCACATCGCAAAGCATAGCTAAACCTTTAAATATCCATGCTAAATCAGTCATCGATAAGGTCTATCGATTAAAGGGTTATTGACAATTATTAGATCAAGTAATCATTAACATTCCTAAATAAAACATATTAAAAGATATTTTACCCTAAATTAACCATACTCCCCATTAAAAGGAGAGATCATCCCAAACTGAAAATTCTGTCACTATTAACTCACCGTTTACTTCTTCCAAACCTGTTTTATTTTATTTTCTCTGATTTATTTCTGTCTTGGTTGTTGAAACCTTCAATAGTAAATGCTGAAATAAGATTCTTCTTTTGTTTATTATTTTATTATTTATATTGTCAGACAGCTAAAACATTTCACTAAATGTCTTAAATCAGCTGCAAAAGGCGATAGGCATGCTGAAAATTTGATAAAATTGATAGATATAAATATTTGTCATTTATCATAATAATTATTGATATCAACTGATATGAAAAAATTATATAAATTAAAAATATATAATTTTTTTTTGCTACATCGCAGTCCTAATTGAAAAAAAAGAGCACATGTCACTCCGCTACTCATCCGTTTGCACTGGCTGCCAGTTGCTGCTCGCATCAAATTCAAAGCTCTGATGTTTGCTTACAAAGCGACTTCTGGCTTCGCTCCTTAACTGCTCTCACTTCTTCAGATTTATGTGCCCTCAAGAAACTTGCATTCTGTGAATGAACGTCGCCTCGTGGTCCCATCCCAAAGAGGGAAGAAATCACTTTCCCGAACTCGCGCATTCAATCAAACAAATAAGTACCTTAAGTCTAATACTGCGGTAAAGTACGGAACCCCGGAAGGGACGTAGTGGAGGAGAAAAAAATTGGCTGGGTGAAAAAATAAATAAATGGGTGGGAGGAAAATGTATATTTCTAAGTTTTTGCGTTCCCTCGCAAAGATGTTTTGCGTTCCGTCGCAAAATTTTGCATTATCTAGCAAAGATGTTTTGCGTTCCCTCGCAAAGATGTTTTGCGTTCTCTCACAAAACTGTTTCTCCACAAACGCTTCCTGTTTACTTCACTCATGTAAACCCTCCCGTTTTTGCCATAATTCTCAGATATTTTACCATTCTACCCCACTTTCTTTACGTTAAATCTGTGTGTCGATCGCCGCCTTTCACTTTGCAACCTCTGAACCAGCGAATGCATGTATAAGCGCTGACTGATAGATGCGCTCTGTACAATAAACTCACTTGTTAACAGAAGTGTCCCTTTAAATGGCGCGTACAGACGCTGATCTGGGATCAGTTTATTGTATGGAGCGCGTTTGTCAGTCAGCGCTTATACATGCATTCACTGGTTCAGAGGTAGCATATGAAAGGCGACGATCGACGCACAGTAATGTAAAGAAAGTGGGGTAGAATGGTAAAATACAGGAGAATTTCGGCAAAAACGGGAGGGTTAGCGTGAGAAGTGAACAGGAAGTGTTTGTGGTGAAACAGTTTTGAGGGAACACAAAACATATTTGCGAGAGAACGCAAAACTTTGCGAGGGAACGCAAAACTTTGCGAGAGAACGCAACAACTTAGAAATGTATATTTTCCTCCCACCCATTTTTTCTTTCACCCATTATTTTTTTTCCACCCTGCCAATTTTTTTTTTCTCCTCCACTACGTCCCTTCCGGGGTTCCGTAGGAAAGAGCTCAAACTGGGCTACAATAAAATGTTGGCAACTTATGGGTGGTTAGTAAAAAAAAAAAAGTCACTGAGATAACTTAATAAATAAACAAAGAATATTTGTTCACAAGAGTTTCATGAGCTGGATCTTGTAGCCACAAGTGTTTTTGCTTTAGATTAATCTTGCTTACTTGCTTACAGAAAACTATTGGCTTAAATTTTCTAAGACCCTGAAAGATGCTCTATGGCTGTATGTGAGGAGGTGTAAACTATTAGTGCTATTGCAGAGATTCACATTTTTTTTTTTTTTTTTTTTTTTTTTTTTTTTTCACATTTTTTTTTTTTTTTTTTTTTTTGTAATTCAGTTTTTTTATTTCCGAAAGTGAGAATATACAGTTTTTACAATCAGATAACAAAATACTTTTAACAGATATAACCCCATATATATTCCCCACCCCCCCACCCCATTATACGCACATCAGGAAACACAGAATAACTATAGTTTAGACCAAGCTGTTAGATAGTTTCCATTAAGTTGTCATCCGTAGCATCAGATGAGGGTTAAGTGTCCAAGATTTCTTTGACGTTGCATATGTAGATTTTCCATGCCGTAAGAATGTCCACTTTGGCATTGTTGAGCCGTGCTGATGACAGTTCCAGATACAGTATTTCCAATAATGAATGTAACCAGTGCTTAACTAAGAGATCATGAGGAGGTTTCCACCTTTGTACCAACATTTTCTTTGTAGCAGTTGAAGCAGCCAACCAAAATTTACGGACCTTTGCATTTAAGGGAAATTGAGAGTTATCATTCAATAGTAACAGTATAGGGTCTTTTGGGAAACAAATTTTTGTAACTTTAAATAAAATGTCCAGCACTGAATCCCAAAGTTTTTGTACCTCCGGACATTCCCACATCATATGTAAAAAGGTATCTGGACGCTGTGGTTCACAGAACTTACAATATGGATCTGGAGATAAACCTATGATATGTCGTATACGTGTGGTTAAATATGCCCTGTGGATAGTTTTAAAATGAATAAACTGGTGATTAGGGTTTGTGGAAGCGTGGAATGTATTATGCCATACAGTTTCCCAATCGATAGTTGTATTGGGTCGAGACATATCAGATAGCCATAGTCTTTCTTTTGAGAAACTATGTGCATTAATATTAGAAAGACAGCAGTAGAGATAGGAAACAGTTCCTTTTCTTGGAGCATTATATATCCATTTCACAATCGGGTGGGTATGAAGATCCTTACCCCATGGTGTCTTATGAGCCTTTAGTGCTGCCCTTATTTTAAAATATATAAAAAGAGTGTTGGGAGATATATTAAATTTGTTAACCAGCTCTTGAAAATCTAAAATTGATTTTTCTCCATTTATGTCTTTTAGTGTTAGAATACCTTTATTGGCCCATGATGGTTGATTAAAAGGTTGTTTACCAGAAAGTAAGTTCACATTGTGCCACAGAGGAGAATGATTATGCCAGGTGGTTCTGGAAGGAAAATAAGTTTCTACCTTTTTAAAAATTTGGAGGGTATAGGATAAAATAGGTCTGCAGAGATTCACATCTGACAATGAATAAAGGGCTGATAACAGTTGTAGCTGCCCTGATGCGAGTCAAGTGAAAGTGTGAATAAGCACATGCTATTGTTTGACATCTAATGCGTGGTCATCTTTGTGTCTCTGTCTTGCTTTAGAGTTCCGAACACTGTTTCCTCAGCTGAGTGGAGTTCTCACGTTGGCATTTTTTATTCATAACTGCATCATCACCCTCATGAAGAACAACAAACATCAAGAGAACAACGTGAGTGTTGCCATCAGTGCGTTATTCTCTTATTCTTCTTCTTAGCTATGTCTTTAGTTCACTATTCCAAAAATTATAGACTGGGTGCATAAAAAAACAACTAAGACTTCTTCTATAGAGATGCTGAAACAGCTCGAGTTGCTAAAAGGAAACATCTTTTATAAAGGAAAAAATGGAGATGAGTCATTGTGGTCAAGTTGTCAGGAAGAACAGAAAAAGCCTGCTGTCAGCAAAACTATGGCTGTTTTTCTTATGTCCTCCCCCTCTCTTATGTGTAGTTTATCACTGAGCTAACATTTTCACTAAATCTTTTAAGAATTCCCTGGTCCTGTTTCTCCCAGAAGTTTATTTACAGCAGGTTATTTTATTATTTATTTCATTTGCATTGTGTTGCTGTTAGTGTTGGGGGTGACGCATTACAATCACTCGAGTTACATAATATCACTTATTAAGTAACGAGTAAAGTAATGCATTACTTTTTAAAATGAAGTACTATTATCTGAGTTATTTTTTTATAAAATGTAATGCGAGTTACTTTTTAGTTTAGTTAATTCACCTTTCAGGAACAGACACAAAAGGAGGATGGCAGAGCCTTCCGTTTCTGCGACGGAAATATTCCCTTTATTTTAAACACATGGAAGAAAAAGAAAAGAGGATTATCTGAAAGGACAGTGATTTCACTTTTAATGAGACAAAAAGTACAGAAGTAGCAAACACATTGCTTTAAACTCATTAATCTGTATATACCGTAGGACTGGGCTGATAAGCGATGTTATATGGAATCGCGATATAATATCATGTCTATAACAATGGCTAAAATAGAGTAAAAAGTCCAGAGCTTATCAATGACCGCAGAAATGTGCAACAGTGGAATTCTAAAAGGGTGTTAATATTAGAGATGTACTGAATTTTCAGCCACCCAAAATTTATCGGCCAAAAATATGTTATGCCATTTAATGCCCTCTAGTTTTTTGTGGCTTCAGTCATTGTAGGGATGCTCTTTTTAAATCTGGAAGCATTGACATGTGATATTGAAATATAAATATACAGTTGAAGTCAGAATTAATAGCCCCCCTTTGAATATTTTTTTTCTTTTTTAAATATTTCCCAAAAGACCTGCCTAGTTAACCTAATAAACCTAGTTAAGCCTTAAAATGTAACTTTAAGCTGTATAGAAGTGTCTTGAAAAATATCTAGTCAAATATTATTTACTGTCATCATGGCAAAGATAAAATAAATCAGTTATTAGAAATATAGTTTTAATACCTCATTTCTTATAACTGATTTATTTTATCTTTGCCATGATGACAGTAAATAATATTTGACGATGTTTTTCAAGACACTTCTATACAGCTTAAAGCAGGGGTGTTTACATTCGGTCCTGGAGGGCCGGTGTCCTGGAGAGTTTAGCTCCAACCCTAATCAAACACACCTGAACAAGCTAATCAGGCTCTTACTAGGTATACTAGAAACTTCCAGGCAGGTGTGTTTAAGCAAGTTGGAGCTAAAGTCAGCAGGACACATGGCCCTCCAGGACCGACTTTGGACACCCCTGGCTTAAAGTGACATTTAAAGGGTTAACTACGTTAATTAGGTTAACTAAGCAGGTTAGGGTAATTAGGCAAGTTATTGTATAACGATGGTTTGTTTTGTAGACTATCGAAAAAAAATTATAGCTTAAAGGGGCTAATAATTTTGTCCTTAAAATGGTGTTTAAAAAATTAATAACTGCTTTTATTCTAGCTAAAATAAAACAAACAAGACTTTCTCCACAAGAAAAAATATGATCAGACATACTGTGAAAATTCCCTTGCTCTATTAAACATCCTTTGGGAAATATTTAAAAAAGAAAAGAAAACTCCAAGTGAGGCTAATAATTCTGACTTTAAATGTATATATTATGGTGGGCATAGATATTTTTTTAAAATCTAGATTAATTTCACTGTAATCTTGGAATTAATTTAATTTAAAATGGCTCATTTGAATTCTGCCGAAGGCATTTAGAATATGTGTGCTACCCAAATAAATACTGAATAGAAGTCTTTGAGAACAGGTTTCTGCCAGGTGGTGGATAAAAGCAGGGGCTTATCTCATTCATTTTCTTTTTGGCTTAGTCCCTTTATTAATCTGGGGTCGCCACAGCGGAATGAACCGCCAACTTATCCAGCGTGTGTTTTAAGCAGCGGATGTCCTTCCAGCCGCAACCCAACCATGGGAAACATCCATACACACTCATTCACAGACATACACTATGGTCAATTTTAGCATACCCAATTCACCTGTACCGCATGTCTTTGGACTTGTGAGGGAAACCGGAGCAACCGGAGGAAACCCATGCGAACTCGGGGAGAACATGCAAACTCCACATAAAAATGCCAACTGACCCAGCAGAGGGTCAAACCAGCGACTTTTTTGCTATGAGGCGATTGTGCTACCCACTGCGCCACCGTGATGCCCTATTCATTTGTTGTTTGTTATTAATAAAATGCTTTTGCCAGGATAAAGCCGTTGTTGCTGACACAGCATTAAATAACAATATGTGATATGATGATGATAGCTTGTACAGTTATTGTTTTGAAATGAGATGTGTTACTTTTTTTTTCTTGTATGGCATTAAATGTGAACTGATGCTTTACTCACAGGTCCGGGATCTGTCACTGGCGTACCTGCTGGTGGGATTGACGTATCTCTATGTAGGAGTGCTGATCTTTGCTGCTTTCCCATCACCACCGTTGTCTAAAGAATGCATTGAACCAGTAAGACCGAGCACCTCCTGATATCACGCTTGTCCTGATATCATCTTTCATGTAGTAATTTAGCTGTTTGTGAGTGGAAAACCTCTGCAAAGTTTCAATATGCTTCACATGAAAAGATGATTGTCTCCTAAAAGACGGAACTGATTCTAGTCATCTGTAACTCAAATCGTTGTTTTTTATGAAACCAAATAGGATAAGAGCTCATGCTTAAATTGAGACAGTATAATCAAAGGCATTGTTATTGTTTGTATCACTTTGTTTACAAGTGCTGAGGAAGTTCAAGGCAGGTTTAGACTGAATTAAAAATTGGTAACACTTTAGTTTGTTACAATTCAAACCATTTACTTACGGCTTATTATGGTCCCTAATCCTACCCAATACCTAAACACAACCTCTATCTTACCACCTATTATTAAACAGCTAATTAGTAGTTTCTTGAGCTAAAAATCTTAGTTAGTGGTTAATTGTTAATGGAATTGGTTATGTAAAATGTGACCAAAAACCGGATCAAAACAAAAGACTTGAGAAGAGATTTGCAAGAAACTTGTCGGGTTGTGTTCCTAAATGTAGGATTAATGTCTAGAAATGCAACATCTGTAAGTGTGGTAACCTGTGGGGGAAAGAGTACTGAAAGTCATGCTCAAGTAAAAGTTCCATTACTTGCCCAAAATTGTAGTGCAAGTAGAGTTTAAGTATGTGTTGTAAAGATTACTCAAAGTATGAGTAAAAAGTAGCCCTTTTAAAAGTACTCAAGAGTAGTGAGTATTACGCTGTGAAAGGTTGATTCGTTTACATGCAGTTTGTGCAGGGATGTGTAAACGTTGTGCATTTAGTAATCTTCCTATGTTCATGCCTTCCTTCCTTCGTTTGTTCCTTTCTTCGTTCTACCCTTCCTTTGTTATTCCCTTTCCTTCTTCCTTCAGTTCTCTCCCTTCCTTCCTTTGTTCTTCCGTTTGTATTTTCCTTTGTTCATCCCTTCTTTCCTTCCTTCATTCTTCTGTTTGTTCCTTTTGTTCTACCCTTCCTCTCTTCCTTCCTTCTTTCCTTTGTTCTTCCCTTACTTCTTTCGCTCTTCACTCACCTCCTTCCTTTGTTCCTACCTTCCCTCCTTCCTTTGTTCCTACCTTCCTTCCTTCCGTTTGTCCCTTCCTTCATTCCTCCCTCCCCTCCTTCGTTCTTTCCTTTCTTCCTTCGTTTTTCCCTCCTTCCTTCGTACTTCCCTTTTTTTCTTATATCCGTTTCTTCCCTTCTTTCCTTCGTTCATCCCTTCCTTTTTTGTTCTGCCCTTCCTTCCTTCGTTCTTCCCTTTCCTACTTCTGTTACTTCTCTTACTTCCTTCATTGGTTCTTCCCTTTCTTACTACCGTTCTTTGCCTTCCTTCTTTCTTCCTTTGTTGTTCCCTTCCTTCCTTCCTTTTTCCGTTTGTTCCTTCCTTTGTTCTTCCCTTCCTTAATTCCGTTCATTTCTTTCTTTCCTTACTTTTGTTCAGTTCTTCCTTGAGTCCTTTCTCCATTCATTTGGTCCTTCCTTCATTAGTTCGGTCCTACCTTCCATTCCTTGTATGGCTCTTTCTTCATTTATTCCCATTTCGTTCCATTTAGTTATTGTTTAAGGCTGTTTGGTGATTTCAGTCATCATACAGTCGACATCCTTCACTTTCTCAGTGACATCCAGTCTATAAACAGTCATTGCGTGTATAGATTTTGGACATTTTTTTATGTGGTTAAAAAGGTTGAGGTTGTTCAGTATGATGGGATTTACTTTCTATGTGCACTTTGATTGGACAGGAATCGCAGGACTAATTTTTCTACTTTAGCCTATGCCCATAGACAAGAAATAATAAATGACTTAAGGTAGTTTTTCTCAGGAATTGTAATTTACTAAGTAGTTTTAAAAATGTGTACATTTACTTTCTCTTGAGTACATTTTTAGTGCAATATCAGTACTTTTACTCCACTACTTTCCTTCAAACTGCAGTCATTACTTCGAGTATTTGTAATTTGTTACTTTACACCTCTAATGGTAACCAATCATAAAAGAATGGAATAACAGGCAACAGACCACTGAATTATTAGGAAATAATCCACACCTTAGTGTATAGCATTATTTTGTTATAACTCAACGGCCTGTTGTGGATTATTCCTAATCAGGGTATGCTACATTTTCATTTTTTTAATTTAATTTTTTTAAGAAAAAGGTGCCTTTTAAAGGAGCTATTAAAACTGACGTTCTCTTGATCTTTTACAGAACTTTCTGGATAATTTTCCCAGCAGTGACATCCTGGTTTTTGTAGCGAGGACCTTCCTTCTGTTCCAGATGACCACAGTGTATCCTCTGCTCGGGTACCTGGTGCGTGTGCAGCTCATGGGGCAGATCTTTGGCAACCATTACCCTGGGTAAGTAATATTGTTGTAAAATAACTAACACCTTTGCAGACGTGTGATTTGATGCATTTTAAACACCCTTAGACCTCTGTAACCAAGTCACATGATTTCGGCTTACAAGCCGTCTGCGCTTCATACTGTTTTGAAACATTTAAAAATATCAGTGGTTTGATGTTGAGGAGTTCATCTCAACTTAACCTATAAACCCGTATTAAAGATGTGCTTGTAATGATCTCAAATGAGTTTGTGTAATGAGCATCCACTAAATAATGATATATTGACTGTTTTATGTTGATAATAGAATAGACTTGATAGAAATTGAAAGGTAGGATTTGCAGTTGTGTTAAGGGTGGGACACAGAAAGCTGAAGATTTGTTGGCCGATGAGCATCTATCATGCTGGTTAGTTTGGTGTGTTCCCTATGTTGCCTCTCAGTCTTACCTGACTCTGCATGTAGAATCAGCATCGGCTGTTGGTGAAAGAATGATGTGTAGCTGAACAGCCAATCAGGACAGAGTATTAGAACAAAAACTGAAGTGATGAAACTATTTCTTTTAAGTGACGAGGTATCATAAAGGAGTCGGCTGTAATTTCAGTGCATTTTTTAAAATACAGTGCATCTGGAAAGTATTCATAGCGCTTTACTTTTTCCATATTTGTTTATGTTACAGCCTTATTCCAAAATGGATTAAATTTATTTATTTCCTCAAAATTCTACACACAATACCCCATAATGACAATGTGACAAAAAGAGTTTTTGAAATTGTTGCAAATTTATTAAAAATAAAAAAACCTAAAAAAATTAGTAAATGTTTTAAGTTATATTGAAGTTTTGTGGATAAGTCTAGTTTGCATCTTTGGATGGGAACATACAGTAGCTACTGACGCTCAGCTGGTACTAAGAGAACATTTGTAGCAAAAGATCCAAAGAAAATCGGCACACTGCCACTTTAGCTTTTAAAAAATCTTTAATGTCGCAACGTTTCGACCGACATGGTCTTCATCAACACCTGAATATCTGAAGATCTAAATATCTACATTTCCAGGTAGTCAGCAGTTCTATAGAATAGTCCTGAACTTCTTTGTATCTGTCTTAGAGGTTTTTATGGATGGCTGTCTTCATGTTGGCTATAGTTGTGGAATCCTTCTCGTCACGTGTCATGCTCTGTACCAGGGGTCACCAACATGATGCCCGCGAGGATCACATGTGTTGCCCGCTGGCCTGTTCTAAAAATAGCTCACCATAGCGCCACTTACCAGTAAGCTTCATCTAATATAGAAGTAATCATTCAAAAATGTAAATATTTGCAGAGATATATAAAAATAAAGTGTTGCATATTGATACATTAATTACAGGGTATTTCCTACCCTGTTAAATCATTTGTTGATAACTTTTGAGAATCATTAACATGGTCAATGTCTTCACATGGATGAATATCATTAATTATTACCAAAAACATAGTGTAATTAAAAGTAAATTTAGCAAATTTGTTATTTGAGAAGTGTTTATCAAACTGGTAGCCCTCCACATTAATCGGTACCCAAGAAGTAGTTTCATAAAGGTTGGTGACCCCTGCTCTGTACTATGTATTTATAAAGTAGAGATTGTGCTTTCAAATAAATCAATTCACAAGTTTCTACTCATGCGTTTCATGGCCCACTTAGAATGGGATCAGTGCCCAGAAAATAAACTTTTTGAAATTCAACCTGAAATAGGAAAAAAATCTAATTTATTTTTTAAGTCAAGACACGATGAGATTGTGTATAGAAGATGTCGCATTGGACACACGAGACTCACACATGAACATTTACTCAAAGGAGAAGAACCACCAAAATGCCTTTATTGCAACAGAAACCAAACAGTTAAACACATTCTTGTGGAATGCCCCATTTTTAATGTTATCAGAAAACAATATTTATCTGGAGAGACTTTAAAGGAAATATTTTTAAACGTGAATCCATCTAAAGTTGTAGAATTTTTATCAAAAGGAAATCTTAAAAAACTGTTTTAGATTTTTATCTTATATATTATCATTATTATTATTATTTATATATTTTACCTTATGCATTATTTATCGCTGTTGATGACTTTTAATTGTTAGAATAATTTTACTTGATCTATTTTTTTTTGCCATGCCATAGCCATAGAAGCTGAAATGGCAATAAAATTAAAACTCTCTCTTCATGGCCCACTTATGATTGTGATTGATATCTTTACGTGCAACTTCCTTTAAAAATGGGCATGTTACGTGTTAAGCACAGCCTCACAAAATGATTACAGGATCCCATGGAAATCATTTGTCAGATTGATTTGCATGTTGATAAACGTGCTTGTAAATCTTTTGTGATAATTCATTTTCCTGCGGTTTAGTCCCTTCGTTGATCAGGGTTCTCCACAGCAGAATGAACCACCAACTTATACAGAATATGTTTTACACAGCAGAACCCAGTACTGGGAAACATCCACACACTCTCGTTTACTCATACACTACGGCCAGTTTAGTTTATTCAATTCACCTATAGCGCATGTCTTTGATCTGTGGGGGAAAGTGGTGGTTGTAACCCACCCACGCGAAAACGGGGAGAACAACTGGTGATCATTACAATGTATATTTACAAAGATCTTAAAGGTTTGCCTTTGTAGAATGTCATTATTAATGCTTTTGTTTTCTCATGTTTAGTTTCCTCCATGTGTTTGTTCTGAACGTCTTCGTTGTCGGCGCTGGAGTTCTGATGGCCAGGTTTTACCCCAACATTGGCTCCATCATCAGGTAAGAGCGCTGATAAATGTCAGGGGGCTCTAATTTTGACACAAAATAACTAGTAAGTGCCTTGGAAACACTGTTTTACTAACATCGTAAATCACAACTCCATTTCCTCAAAATTGAATAATGGTGTTTATATATGTTGATCATTTTGATCTCCATTGTATAGTATGAATGATTCAGACATACTGTATCTGTTATGCCACTGTCATGACTTGCAGTATGGTGTCAGATTACTTCAAAATGATGAGGAGGTTGTAGATTTTCCTGTTACTTTCACCAACTGTTTTTTAATACTATTCAATTCAGATACTACTGTTCAAATAGTGTTTTTCATCTAAAACAAATAGTCATATTCAGACTTTATGCTGTATTGTACTGTTGTAACACAGTAAAACCGTCAACGTGAACAAGGGATGTTTTTATACTTTATAATAGATATCGCGATTTCGATTTGATTTGCAATTTAATCATATAGTCAGGCTTCAGCTCAATAATCTGTATCGTAGCTTCTTACTGCTAAACTGCAGTGAGTGTTAGTTAAAGGAACTGAAAAGATAGTAACCTACCTAAACATTTATTCAAATTTATTTTAACATTTTCAGAAATGAAACGCTCATTTTTCACCTTTTTGTAAACAAAGTTGAACTCAAATTAGAGAGATAGTTTGCTTATTATAAAAACACAAAATTATAATGATAAAAATACAGGACACAAACATGGCTGAAACAACTCTGAAATTGGACTTTGCTGTTTGCTTACTACTAGATTGAGTGCCAGTGGCATTACTTTTAGTTGACGTTTTAGTCTCATATAGCCACCTGTGGTGCTTTTTTAGGTGCTGGTTGTTGTATTTCCTTGTGGTGTGGCAACAATTCGTACATTTTACTTGCTGTTCTGTCTCTGTGACTTTAAAACCAAAATATTCCCAAATTATCGATGTTCTCTTTTTCTCTGATTATTAATATTCTATTAATGCTATTAATAAAGCAGCAGAATTCTGATTGGGCATAACGAAAGTGTGCTCACTTAGTTGGAAGCATTAAAGAAACTAGGGGAAATGAGAGGGTAATATAAACATAAAAGTGAATAGGTCATTAAATACAAAGCAATAAGCGCAAATTCTAGGAGTTTAAACATCGCTCTTTAGGATAATACTGTTTGAATATGCTTGAAAGGACAACATGTATTTACATTTATAGATATAAAACTTTCCAATATATATTAGTGTAAAACCTAAAACATGGTGTTTTGATTAAGTCTTAAACAATGATTAAGATAATTTTGGTTAATGAAAGCATTTAAAAAAAAGGCACTTTAATCCAGAAAGATTGAACAAAAGGACTTTCCTAAAATAAGTGAGCGACACTTTAAGTAGAAGTTTCCCAGATACATCAATGACACTTAAAATTTCTGCATAAACTGTTTGACTGGAAAAAATATATATAATCATAAAAATAATTTTATAATTATTTAATAAAATAGTTCTTTAACTTGATTTGTTAAGAAAGCTTTAGGGTGGCGGGATCAATGATGATTATTTTATTACAAGTCTGTAAGACTTATTTGAGTTAATATTCAGGTTTTTTCACTAAAATATATAATTTAGGTCATTTATGAAGCTGAATGCAGTAAATAGTCTGTATAAAAAGGCTGAAAATAAACCTGTGCAAACAATCGAGACTTTATAACCAAATTATTTAACAAAAGATAATTACTGCTGTAAAATATTTGTAGTCTTTTAATAAGCATGATGTGCATAAGATAGATGTGGTATGAAAAGTGAATTGTTTGTTTTAAAATTTGTGAATCAGAAGTTGTCCAATAATAAACGCAAAACACACGTGGTTGTTGTCATGTGGTGAACTCGGCCAATCGTGTAATTTCGGTGTCGTCATCGCAGCTTCAGCAGTCGCTCTTCAGACGCTGCACCGGCTGAATCGGAGCGCTGTCGTGGTACTTTGATGCCACATGTGACAGTCACATGGCATCATCGCAGCATCAATCCGGACAAAGATTCTAACCGGCATGCACTGCTTTAAGACAGATTTAGATCGATCTGCATGAAGTCGAACGCACCTAATGTATTGCTCGTAGTAAACATGCACCCTAATCTGACATGACTCGAACCAAGTTGTTTTTATAGTTTTTGGCACACTAAAATGTTTTTAAAGCTTCACATGGAATATTTTTGGTTCCTTTTCTGATCTTTAAACATCTTCGGACCCTTGCGGTCTACTGATTATGAGGGAGATATTTGAGTTTTAAATATCTAAAGACCTGAAAGAACATGAGGTTGTGTAATTAATAACTGAATTTTCATCAAAAGACTTGATGCTGTGTTCAACTCTGCTCTCAGGTATTCTGGGGCTTTATGCGGCTTGGCTCTGGTGTTTGTTCTTCCCTCTCTGATCCACATGGTCTCGCTGAAGCGCAGAGGTGAGTTACGCTGGACCTCCACCCTCTTCCACGGCTTCCTCATCCTGCTGGGTGTGGCCAATCTGCTGGGACAGTTCTTCATGTAACGCTGTGCCTGATGATAGCGGAGGAACTCTGTGTGGAGAGCTGAAACGGTTGCTTTTCACAGGAACGATGACTTAGTACTGGAACTTAATGATCACATCCCCATGGGTTTGAAAAGGCACCAAGCAGCTTAGACATTTTACAAGGGTTTAATTAAAGTTCTGCATTATTATATTGCTTTTAACAGCTCTTATTAAAGTGACACTTCAGCCGAAATATTTGATTTACTCATCGTTAAGTGGTTCCAAACTTTTACAAATTTCTTTCTTTTGATGAACGACAAACAAGATATTCTGAAGGAAACCAGCAGCCATCGATAGTAGGAACAAAAAATATACCATGGAGGCTTTTCACCCAACATCTCCCATAGAAGAAAGAAAGTTAAACAAGTTTGGAACAAGTAAACGATGACAGAATTTTCATTTTTGGATGGAATATCACTTTAAGCTACAGACAAGCTCTTCCGACAGCATTTAATCCTTCTGTTTAACTCAAATTGTATTTGTTTTCTTATCAATCGCATGAATCATCATCGTATGTGAAGCTATGCATTCTCACTCTAACATTAATGTGGAGTGAAGACACTCGTTACAGAGGAGCAGATTGTTTTCGTTACCAGAACTGTACTGAATGCCAGTCGATTCTGTTTGTCGCCTCAAAAGACAAAAACTTCGGTAACACTTTATAATAATTACAGTCTATAAATCATTAGCAAATAGTGAACTCATTATCTGTTAAGCATAAACTCTACATTAATAAGTGTTAGTAAGCAGTTTATAACTGCAGCCACAAATGCTCTATTCTTGACTTATAAGCACCTATATAATGTGTTTAATGATTGTATTTTCATAATTTAGTAATGAAAAATAAATAATTACCAGAGTAAGTATTGAATTATTTACAAACTGTTTGTATTTAAGAGTAGTTGAGAGTTTTCAGGACCCTTCAGAATGAGTTAGTAAATGATTAACAAACTATTGAAATCAACATTTATATGTCTTATTATTCAGGCATATACTAATTGTTAACTAATATGTTAGTAAATGCTTTATTAACTCAACTTCATGCAGTTTTGTGACCTAATCTAAAATGAGGACTATTCATGCTTTATAAATGCCTATTAAAGGCTCAGTATCAAATAAATGATAATCTGTGCAATCTTTCTAAAAAGTAAAATTACTGTAAAGTTTAAACTTTGCAAAATAACAGGAGAGTCAAAATATGACATCCAACTGGATAAAACAACAACAATATAATAATTTAACATTATAATAAGATGTAATGTTTAAACTCTACAGTGATTCTATTTTAGATAAGGTTGCAAAGATTTATTTTTCATTTGAAGTGGTTTCATTTGTGTATCTTGAAATGAAGAGAAATGAATAATGTATTTTTTTTCCTGTTTAGAATTTAACTGAGCCTTTATTTGTCATTTATAAGGGATTTATAAAGCATGAATAGTCCTCACTTTAGATTAGGTCACAAAACTGCATGAAGTTGAGTTAATAAAGCATTTATTAACATATATAGTAACCATTAATATATGCCTGAATAATAAGACGTATAAATGTTGATTTCATTAGTTTATTAATTATTTAATAACTTATTCTGAATGATCCTAAAAACCCTCAACTACTCTTAAATACAAACAGTTTGTAAATAATTCGATATTTAATTTTGTAATGAAAAATAAATCATTAACAGAGTATGAAAATACAATTATTAAACACATTATATAGGTGCTTATAAGTCAAGAATAGAGCATTTGTAGCTGCAGTTATAAACTGCTTACTAACACTTATTAATGTAGAGTTAATGCTTAACAGATCATGAGTTCACTATTTGCTAATGCTTAATAAATGATTTATAGTGTGTGGTTATTATAAAGTGTTACCAAAACTTCTCAATAGAAACTGTAGATCAGGTGGTCTTAAACTCCTGGAAGGCCACAGCTCTGCAGATTTGAGCTTCAACCACCTGCTTAATAGTCTCTAGTAGTCTTAAACACCGCTCATCCAACTAGGTGTTCGATTAGGGTTGGAGCAAAACTGTGCAGAGCTGCGGCCCTCCAGGAATTGAGTTTGAGACCACTGCTGTATATGTTGCGTCTTCCAGACTTGGTCCTCCATAGGGTAAAATGTGTTGAAATTAAATCTGGATTCATAAAGGGAAACAAATGTATTTAAACATTGTAACAAGAGAAATGCTCTTGATGATACTGTAGTTTTCATGTCGTTCTCCAGCTGAATCTGAGTGTACTGATGCATTTTATGAGTTCATGTCACTTTATGAAATATGTGCACATCCAAAAGGGAAGCTTTAATTTGCACACTTTGTCACTTTTATGCAGTTGTCTATATATGTTTGAGTTTAATTTAAATAATTACAATTATTGGTATAAAGTAAAGCCAGACGGATTACTTGGGAATAGTTCAACCATACAAAATGTTCAATACAGTAGTTAACAGTGCGTTTTAATGGTTTCCTTCATTATGTTTTTTAGCTCCCTCAAAAAGTGCTAATGCTTGTTTACACAGGAAATAAATGTTCATATTACACCCAAAAAGCTATACCAAAAGAGATTTTCATGAAAATGAACACTCTTTGAATTGCTTGTTAACCTAAAATCATGATTCTTCAGCTACTGACCTGCTGGTAGAGCGTAATTATTCATGTATATACCAATATATACATTTCTGAAATGAAAAATTGTTATATTATAAATTAGTTTTATGTTCAAAAGATATTGTCTGAGTTTTATCGGTTCAATTACACAAAGAAATAAGCTCTTTTTTTTTGCAATGGTTAAAAATGCTTCTGATTTCATTCAGTGTTAGAATGGGGTGTTTATGAAATGTTTTGATGCACATCAACAGAATCATAATTGCCTTCACAGATGCTGATCAGCAGTTATTCCTTTGTGTGTGTGTGTGTGTGTGTATTGGCAGTGCAGCTCACAGTGTAGAAGTCCAGAAGTGTGTTTGTGGAGTAGATCAGGTAAAGAGGTCAGCGTAGTCTGCTGTGGATGATCTCTGGCCACACGCCTGCAGCAGAAACTCCTCTCCTTCAGATGAGCTCAGCGGCTCCACCTAGTGTCAGGAAATATGCAGTTAGACATGGGTTAAGATTTGCCATGAAACAGAAGGTTTTGATCCACTTGAAAACGATCCTGAAATGATACAGCACTTATTCATTGTTGCTCTTATACGTAGTTGTGTAAATTGCTTCCTTGTCCTCATTTGTAAGTCACTTTGGATAAAAGTATCTGCTAAATGACAATGTAAATGTAAGTACATGTCGGGTGTTGCGGTAACTGAACGGATCATTGGAAGATAGATGTTGCTTAGAAAAAAAAAAATTTTTTGAAAATATTCTGATTGAACCACAGAAGGGGCACCTTTCTTTTGTGTCTTTCTTGCCGTCTATAGAGGATGAGAGACAATTTATCACCAAAAATATCTTCGTTTTGTTTGGACTTTCAGCAGTGAAAATTAAACCACACTGAACTGAACTGAACTTAAACTCTGAAAACTGGACTGACACAGTTTTAGTTTATTATAATCTTCCATGATAGCTGCTTTGACATAATCTACCTTGTAAAAGTGCTATAGAAATAAAGGTGAATTGAAATAGAATTTTCATCCTGAAGACAAACTTTGAGGGTTTGGAATGAGGCATGAGTTATTTAAAGGTCACGAAACACAATTTTTAAGATGTTGACAGTCATATCCATGTCCCACGCTGCTAAAAACACTATTAGGACACATACAGTTGAAGTCAGAATTATTAGCCCCCCTGAATTATTAGACCACTTGTTTATTTTTTCCTCAATTTCTGTTTAACAGAGGAAAGATTTTTTTTCAACACATTTCTAAACATAAATGTTTTGATAACTCATCTCTAATAACTGATTTATTTTCTCTTTACCATGATGACATGGTACAAGATATTTTACAAAACACTTCTATACAGGTTAAAGTGACATTTAAAGGCTTACCTAGGTTAATCAAGGTAACTAGGCAGGTTAGTGTAATTAGGCAAGTTATTGTATAATGATAGGTTGTTCTGTAGACTATCGAGAAAAAATATAGCTTAAAGGGGCTAATAATTTTGTCCCTAAAATGGTGATTAAAAAATGTAAAACTGCTGTTGTTCTAGCTGAAATAAAACAAATACAACTTTTTCCAGAAGAAAAAAATATTATCAGACGTACTGTGAAAATTTCCTTGCTCTGTCAAACACCATTTGGAAAATATTTAAAAAAGAACAAAAAAATTTGAAGGGGGCTAATAATTCTGACTTCAACTGTATATTCAGCTAACAAGTGAAAACTGATTGTTTTTGCGTTGTTTAGGGTAAATTCCTTCTTCTGGTTTAAAAAGACAATTAAGCATGAGATCCTTGTGTAAATTCCAGCGTGGGGATTGGTGTATAAATGTTCATTACTAACCTTTCTATGACCATGCTTTAATTATAACTGCAGATCAAAAGTGTGAAATAGCCGACTGTAACATCCGCAATAACATAAAATAAATAAATAAATGCAACATTTATGAACACATACAGACCCTCAGAGTCACTGATATATTACACACAGCACACATTTAGTCCATATTTGGGTGCAAAAACAACAATATTGCCAACAGTAGGTGCAAACCTCTCATCTGCAGTTGTGTAATGTAACTAATCACAAGTACTTAAATTACAATAATGGAGTAGTTTTTCTCCGGAATTGTAATTTAGTAAGTAGTTTTAAAAAATGTGTACATTTAATTTCCCTTGAGTAAATTTTTTTTGTACAGTATTAATACTTTTACTCCCCTACTTTCCTTCAACCTGCAGTTACTACTTTATTTTTTCTTGTCTACGGGGATAATAAAAATAAGTCCTGTGGGTTCTGTCAATTCAAATTGCAAATAGAAGGCAAATCGCATCATAATGAACTACCTTAAAAGGGTCACGAAACACCAAAACACATTTTTTGAGCTGTTGACAGTCGTATATGTGTCCCACACTGCTAAAAACACTATTAGGACACCTATATTTCACTAAAAAGTGTAAATTGGTTGTTTTTGCGTTATTTCAAGTAAATTCGTACTTCCGGTTTGAAAAGAATTTTTGAAGCTGCGTCACGGTCATGAGATAATAGCGTTGTATTCCAGCGTGCAGACTGGACGTCTGTGCCAGAGTATGTGTTATTACGTCTTACAGTGTGTTGCATTAATGCATGAGTAAATCTTGGTTCAAACCAATCAGCGCGCTCTATTGTGCAGCTTCATTAATATTCATTACTGTCACAGTGTTTAGACGACAGAGACGCCACGTTGTGTTGGCAAAACAAGCTTGAAGTGTTGCTTTTATAGTTTACTGCCGTTAAGTTTTATTTTCATTTTTTCTCTGTGAGAGCGCAGCTGGAGTCACGTGTGGATTAACAGTGTACGCGACGCTCGACAACAATAACTTACGTGTCTAAGGAGGATTATTGTTTACTTGAGAGCTGTTCTCATCTGCAAACGCTGAGATCCGGATTCGCTTTAGTCTCCTCTTAATAAAGACGCGGCTCTAGTTGCTGGTGATTGTCCTGTCTCTACAGATTTGGTAAGTAAGCGACCAGCGCTCTTTGTTTATTCAGTTTGTTCGTATCGAACTAAGTTAACTATTGCAGAGTGTAAACATGTTAGCACTACAACCAAACTTTAACCTCGTGTAGGGTTTTTACCGCATTTTGTGACCGGAATAACACACGCGGCTTTCTGACGCTACCTGCCGTGTGCATCTAAGTTTCCGGGAAATGCGGAGGTTTTTTTTCTCTCATTCGCCGTGCGGTATCAAACATTGCATGAAAAATACACGCTTAGAGCAGATCCTCGAATCAAATATCTCGTTTGTCGCGAGGGACATGAACGAGGGGGTTTCATGGCCCTTTAAGACATGGGTTAGTTATAATTGCAACAAACTGGAAGCATTAAATGTTCAAGAAGATTTCCAAAATCTTTACACACATTGACCCAGAGACTGTTTAGATCAGGAGTGCTCAACCCTGTTCCTGGAGATCGACCTTCCTGCAGATTTTAGTTGCAACCCATATCAAACACACCTGCCTGTAATTATCAACTGCTGTTCAGGTCCTAATTAATTGGTTCAGGTGTGTTTGATCAGGGTTGGAGCTGAACTATGCAGGAAAATAGTTCTCCAGGAAAAGGGTTGAGCACCACTGGTTTAGATGCATGTCACTGATAAGAAGATGATGGATGTTTACTGTATGATGGCCTTAAACACCCAGCAGGCACAGTTGCAATACTCGATTAATAAATGTCAGCATTTGATGTCAATATGATGTTGGTTTAAGATGTTGACGTTGGATTTCGGTCACTTTCTAACAACGTAAAATCGACCAAATATCAACATTATTTGACTTCATTATTAGACATCAAAATAACGTTGTCCTTAGATGTTAGCTAGACATTGAAATTTGGTCAGCTGACATCACAACCTAAATATATCCTAATATTAACGTCTTATGATGTTGTGTGGCTGCTGGGCAGTAACTAAATGCACTACAGAATGTTACGTTTACACACACATGCACAAATGACATGTCAGTGCATCAGCTTTTAGCAGCGTAATACTCACTACTCGAGTACTTTTGAAAGGGCTACTTTTTACTCATACTTTGAGTAATATTTACAACAGATACTTTTACTCTACTTGCACTACATTTTTAGGCAAGTAAAGGTACTTTTACTTGAGTTTGATTTTTCAGTACTCTTTCCACCACACCTCTCATCTGTGTCTTTAATCTTCATCAGCACACGTAACCTCTTCTTAGAAAGTAATTCCATCATTCCGAGTTCATAATAGTCCAAAAGGTGATGATAACAGTTAAACATGGCAGTTTGTTCATGTTTTAGGTTGCTAAAGCATCATTTGCTGCTGTTTTTTACGGCTTCTCTTTATAGAACGCACTTTTAGACTGGCTCGTAAAACAACAACAAGGCACAGCAGATTTTGTTCTTCTTTGTGGCTGTTCTTAAAGACGACGACAAGGTTTGTTTGAGCTTGGGTCGACCATGGCTTGTTATTATATGTATATATTATTACGGGGTAATGTCTTGGCTGTGCTTTTAAAAATGGCGTTTTCTTAGTTTTTTTTATTCTCCTGCTTGTGTGAGTGACGTATCTTTGTAAACTAATAGCATTCAACAGCGCGTCTAGCTCCTCCTTATGGTAGCCTATGCAGAGGGTGACCAAAAAGTGGTACGGTACGGTTCGCTTTTAGGTACCCTTTGACAGTGGAAACAGCCATAAAAGTGTACTGAACCGAACCGTACCTTACCACTCAGTGGCCATAATTAATAAAAAGACTTGGTTTGAATTAATCAGCGTGCTCTATTGTGAAGTAGATGCAACTTTCTTAATATGCATTATATACAGTCGCTTCGAAGACCAACCATAATTCAAACAAGTGGAAGAAGAATTGTTTGGAGAAATGGGTCGTCAGTGTTTCGTTTATAAATGTGCCGCAATGAAGGTTTTGTTTCCATTACCCCGTGATGAGAGCACAGCTTGCGTGTGGGCCCACATGTGTGGATTTTATTGATCTTCTAACCGGCAACAAAAATATGCTTGTAAGGAACATTTTTTTACCGGAGAGCTTTTTGAATCTAGAAATGCTGAAGTCTGGATTTGCCACTCATCTTTTTTAAAAAAAAGATGCAGTTCAAGTTGGTTTTGATTTCCTGTCTCTACAAATTTGGCAAGTGTGTGATAAATGCTCTTTGTTTATGTTTATTCAGATGGCAAAGTTAGTTAGTATAATCAGCAGTACTCTTTCAGTTTTTAAAGACACACCTTAGTCAAAATGATTTAGTTAACAGAAATATCACTACAATATTACGAACTGGAAATCATCCACTTCCAGCTCTCAGATCTACTGTAAATGCTGCTCTCCGAATCACTGTCTATCTCCACTGCGTCTGTGTTGCAACATGTAATGAAACTCCCCTTTTCATGCAAACCCTTCCCTCTTTCGCTGCTGGGGTTGGAGGTGGGGAAATGGGCTGTTCGTGAACAGGGCATTACAGTGTACAAACATCCCTCCAGTGACTCGTGCTGTAAACGGCGTATGGTATGTTATGTCACTTTCTTTTCTTTTGTGTCTTGTGTATGGAATGTGCTCAGCGTGGCCTATTTTAATCATAATGACTTCACCCTGCAAGCTGGTTCACTCTCCTCCTATGACTGGCATGCATGTACTGCAGATGCGAGACGCCATTGCAGTGGGTCATCATCATCATCACGCTAAAGATAATATAAATCTCTTTTAATATACATATTTTTATTCATGTATAAAAACCTCATAAGCCTTTTCTGATATTTTTAGACCAGCTTCAAAGTCATTGAAAGGGTTAGTTGACCTAAAAAGGGACATTATATTATTAAATACTCATCCTCATGTGTTTTCGAACACAAATTAAGATGATTCAGATGAAATCTGAGAGTTCCCTCTTTCTCAACAACATGGTTCTCGACTTGTTTAAAGTACAGAAAAATCTCAAAAAAAAACATCCTCAAAATATGCCTTCAGTGGTTCAGCTGCAATGATGAGGCATGAGTTACTAATATAATTTTCATTTTTGGGTGAACGATCACACTAAAGCAGCCAGCTAAAAGAGCAAACCTGTTCAAAAACAAGACATCACAGCTTATCAAATATCCCTCCAGTGACTCGTGCTGTAAACGGCGTATGGTATGTTATGTCACTTCTCTTTCTTTTGTTTCTCATGTATGGAATGTGCTCAGCGTGGCCTATTTTTAATCATAATGACTTCACTGGTTATGTGACATTGGAACTGAGGCATCTAAGCTGTGTCTGACTGTTGTCTCTGATTAATCAGACTTTTTACATTTTATTTACAGGCAATGAATGTACAAATGTGTGGTCAGGTAACTGGCCCTGGATGAATTGATTTGTCTGCTATTTCCTAGCATAGTAGCTACCTGTAGGCGTCTTTGGACAGCAATGCTGAATGAAGATTCGAGAAGGGCATCTTTTGGTAAAGCGAATGGCTGTGAAGCTTAAGTGGCTCAGGAAGCCTTATTTTGCCATCACTATCTATGACTGGTAAAACTGCCTTTTCTATCAAAGACACTAGAAAAAGTTGTATCTGCCCAACTATGATCCTTCCTACAGAGAAACATTATTTGGCAAAAATTCCAATCTGGATTCTTTTACCTCTCTCTCTCTCTCTCTCTCTCTCTCTCTCTCTTAGTGTTATTGGACCTCGATGCTGCATTTGATACAATCACTCATAATGTTCTCCTTGATAGGCTTGAAAATGATGTTGGTATTACAGGAACTGCATTGGCCTGGTTCAGGTCTTATCTATCTGAACGGTATCAATTTGTATCGGTTAATGAAGAGGCATCATACTGTACAGATCAAAAGTACTCTGTGGGGTACCTCAAGGTTCATTTCTTGGTCCCTTACTTTTTACACTATATATACACGTCACCGCTAGGCGATATCATTAAAAACACGGAGTTAGCTTCCACTGTTGTGCTGATGATACACAACTTTATATCTCCTCTCAACCTGATAATATGTAGAAATTTCAAAATTTACAGATTGTATAGCGGATATTAAAAATTGGTTGACTAATAACTTCTTATTACTAAATTCAGATAAAACTGCTTCTTGGACCCAAAAACCTCACACGCAAAAACCTATAACACTGTCTAGGCCTTGATGGAGTCTCAGTTCAGTCCTCATCTTCAGTCGAAAATTTGGGGGTTTTGACAAGATACCAAAATAAAGAAGCTTTATTTTTATGTTTTGTGTCCTTGTCCAGTGGCGCCTGCAGCCATACGGCTTGACGCACGCACTGTTTGTACCTACCATGAGAGGGCGGGAATTAATGCCGCTTTTTAATTTATTTATTACATAATTTAAATTGATTATTAAACCGTATACACTACAATATATTGACAAATCAAGAAAGAACAAGAATAAATAAAGATGTGTGTTTGTGTGTTTTAAAATGAATATGTACTTGCATGGTGGGAGATGAGTAAAAAAATCTGTTGGCTTTAGTTTTGCTGACGGTTTTTCCTCACCTAAAAATTACTAATTACTAAAATTAATTCAGATAGCTATTGTTTAAAACAAGGTTCAAAATGAGTAAACGCTCTTTAAAACAGATAAACCTAATTGAGACATTTGCCAAAATGCCTAAAACTGATGATACAAATAGTGATCTCCCGCACGGAGTGGAGACTGCAGTCTCATCAGCACCTAAGCCGGGGGAACTGTCTCTTTCATCAGTCAGATCAGCAGCGCAGCCTCCTCACATGCAACGGCTACCATTCAAGGTGTTTTAATCAATTTTATCTGACAGACTGGCATATATAAGCAGACATCTCCATTCTCACAACTAGTTTGAGTTTTCTCACCCTTCCAACCGAATTTGTTCATTTGTTCAAGGTAATGTGGGAACATGTTCAGTGCTGTTGCGAATACTTTGTAAAGGCTTGTCCTGCTCATTCAAATCACTTGATTAAATGAATTTAATTGTAATTGACCGGCGCAACATGGAAAACAGCTTAATACAGGCTTCTCTGAAACTGAGTATATCACTTTAATTTTATTTAGGCTAGATTATTATTTTATTTGACAATCCAGTTCGTGCTTTGGTATTGTTGAAGCATAGCAGATTTGTTTTGAAGCACTTCAACTCAAATGTTATTCGTTCTTCTATTGTATCTAGAAGATAACTGACCAAGAAAAATAGTTAAACAAAGAGACAAACTATATACGAAATTCGTTTTATAAAAAGATATTTTTTCCAAGAAAATATATATTTTTGTTTGAGCCCGTTTACTACTCAACTGTGCAGGTGGATGATTTTCGGTCAGTGTAAAGTAAGGATTTAATTATTGCTTCACTAATTGTATTGTATCACAATCTTCTGTCATATATTTGCAATTTTTTAATATGTCTTAATTTTAAAGATTACGTCTCGAGCATCTGATTTTTCCTTTGTGCTGATGTGCTTTTATTACATTTAGATTTCAAAGAAAACATATTAATTTTAAAAAGGAAACAAATAAATGACAAAAAGAAACAAATAAATGTCATAACGAATATCCTTAATGTAGCCTTTGACAGTAAGCATCAGTGTTTCTTGATATGATTGGGGTAAGGGGAAGGGGACGGGGCGGGGCAGTGCTGGATTTGTGAGTACCTTCGAATAAAATCCTGCAGGCGCCCCTGTCCTTGTTATTGTGTCAGATTGCACGCCTATCATAGCAGGCTACCCAATATGGTAAATATTGGTAAATAGATTATATGTATATACTTTTTCACATGTATGTATATATATTTTAAGTCACAAAACTGTCCGCAAATTTCCGCCACAAAATCAGTCATTTTTATCATGAAAAATCACCAAAAAATAAAAAAATAAAAAAATTCCCAAAAACTAGGGGGTCTGTAAACTGTACGAGTGTAATCGTACAAATTCATTCGAATTAGCCGCTAAATCAAAAAGTTACGAGTTGCCGTGAGATTGCGTTGGTACAGCACATTACCTGATGATACTCCACTAGTTCACTGAGGGAGCTGAATTTGATCTGGTCTCCCAGCAGCATGTAGCAGTTCTCCGAGGAGTCAATCAGCAGGTGTTTGATTCCATCCTTGAATCGGTAGGAAAGCACATATCCAAAGATCCTCTCACTGACGCGGACCAGGAAAAGCCCGGGCTCACCACCGCTCAGCAGTTCCTCTGCCTGCTCACGGGAGATTATACCTGTAGATAAAATCAGATCATGTTATCGGTTGTAGGAAATCTCTATATACTGTATTAACTTGATATAGACTAATTCAATAGCTCTGTTTGGAAAGACAGGAAGGGTCTACAAAATTTGAAGAATCTATTATTTGAGCCCTGGGTGCCCTGGTGAGCGCTTTTACAATGTGGATTGTCTCAAAGCAGCTTCACATAAATGGTCATAGTAACTGGAACAGTGTAGTTCAGTTTTTAGTGTTTAAGTTCAGTTCAGTTCAGCTCAGTTCAGTGTGATTTAAAATCATTACTGAGAGTTCATTTTTAGTCATTTACCTTCTTGATCTGTAGCTTTTCATTTATTTATAATTGAGTAAAGACTGCAGAAACTTTTTCTTGTTTCAGTTTCATCATTCTGTTAAATACAAAAGAAGATATTAAAAAAAAAATGTTGGAAAATTTTTACTTTCATAGTAGGAAAAGCAAATATTACAGAAGTCAAAGGTTGCAGGTTTCTAACATTCCTTAAAATATCTTCCTTTGTGTTCAATGTAGGTCAAGGGTAAGTAAGTAAATGATGGCAGAATTTTAATTTTCTCATTGTGTGCTTTAAGAAACAATTCTGGATTCTGCCTAAATTGATTCTCACCGTGAAACCATGTGGCGATCCGGCTTTGATCGCGCTGAAACCCTGCTCTGAGGGGCAACTGTTCCTCCTTAAACCAACGAATAATATGTTCTCGACTGGACGTTGACTGTGAGCGCCGCATACCGCCTTTCCTGCCAGACAGAACAGAAGAAACAAACTGGATCAAATCCCAGACCATCAGCCATGAAGCCATGTAAAGATATTTCCTGAGACTTTGTTCACAACATTCAGTTCATATTTGGTCTGTTAAACATATTTACTGTACATAACAAGAGAACTAGAAGCGGCTTTGCACAACAGATGATGCGTTGAGGGGAAATCCGTGTCAAAACACGTAATTACACAGCCTGCAGTACCACATTCCTGAGATGAATGAGTCTTGAATAAAAAGAGGTGACAGATATGATGAATATATCTCTATTATTAGCACTAGAGAGATAGGTGGGGATCAAGATAGAGATTTGTTTACCCCGTTTTAGCAGAGTGTACTTAGATTACTGATTATTAAATAGATTAGTATACCCTTTGATATGTTTATTTATATTAAATACAGAGAAAATTCCAAGTACACTGCAAGGTTTTAAATCAAAATACTCTCTCAACACTGATCATTAAAAATCCATACTTAAATTGACATATCAAACTTAATTCAAGTAAACGCATTAAGCATTATTAGTAGAAGACTCCTGTGATGGCGTCCACAAAAAAATTAAACAGCAAAAACTGGTGTTAAATGTTTTATAATAAAGTCCAGAATAAATTAATTTTTATCAAAATTATCTCAATGTAATGTAATGTATATTTTTTGTTTAATGCCATGTCAGCAACCAAAGCTATTTTCATGGCAAGAATACTTTAATAATAAATCTACAATAAAAAACAAAATAAATAAATTGAATAAGATTTTAGTGTTACTACATGATAAAAAAATCATTATTTTTTCTGCTGTCACTGCATGTCCTTAAGAGAGTTCATTTCATAAAAAATCCTTCTGGAAAAATTAAAAACAGGACAGTACAAATGTGTTTTACAGTAAGGGGAGTTAAAACCCTCTTTCGATCTACCTCCTAATTAAAAAATAAAAAATAAAAAAGCACCGAGATGGGCGTGGAGCGCTGAGAGCAGAGGAAGGAGTGGGCGTGGTCGGCAAAGCAGGGGAAAAAGAGGGAAGCGAACAACTGTTGTCAGCTCACAAAATGAGACACAAACCGTGAGGTGAGGCATGATTTTAGTTTACAAAGTTAAAATGCACAAAAATAAACAGTAATTTAATGTCCTGCTACATCTGTTATTCGTAGTTTCATATACACATAACCACAATTTGTTACATGTAATGTAAAGTGTATTTATATAGCACATTTATTGTGTATGGCCATACACCCAAAGCGCTTCACAATTATGAGGGGGAGTCTCTCCACACCCCCACCAGTATACAGCATCCACTTGGGTAGTGCGACGGCAGCCACAGCAGACAGCGCCAGTGCATTCACCACACCAGGAGAGACAGTGATAGAGCCAATTCAGTGGATGGGGATGATTGGGAGGCCATGATGGGTAAGGGCCAATGGAGGGAATTTGGCCAGGACACTGGCGATAGACTCCTACTCTTTTTGAGAAGTGCCATGGGATTTTTAATGAGCACAGAGAGTCAGGACCTTGGTTTAACGTCTCTTATGAAAGATGGCAGCCCACTGACAGTTTGGTGTCCCCTTCACTTTTACTGGGGCATTAGGACTCACACAGACCGCAGGTTGAGCGCCCCCTGCTGGCCTCACTAACGCCACTTCCAACAGCAACCTAGTTTTTCCATGTGGTCTACCATCCAGGTACTGACCAGGCTCTGCTTAGCTTCAGCGAGTAACCAGTCTTGGGCTGCAGGGTGATATGGCTGTGGCTATATGCATCAATGTAAGATAATCATGTTTATATTAACACTATAAATGAAGAGGACTTCTCTCCTCCTCAATCCCAAAGTCTGAATGCAGACACAGTGGATAGCAGTGCAGAAGGTCTTTTGCCCTGTCTATTTCAACCAGTAGCCCTGCTGGTATCTTTAAAATCAAGAGGATTTTAAACGTGTGCGAGCACAGCAGCATGGATAGGCACTGTGTCTGAATAGTAACAAACTCAATTGATAAAAGACAAAGTCCGTCATTCCCTACAAAAATGCTTGCTGCAAACCAACAGAACCCCGGGGAAAAACATGCAACAAACCCAGTGGATCATGGAAACAAACACATACGACCCAGTCATTGGGTCTCACAGCTTGGCAGTCTGACTAGCATTCAGAAAGCACATGCTCTCATGAATAACTAAGAAGCAGGGTCTTCTCAAAGGATAAGAAAACCCTGCTATGAATAATAATGAGAAAAACTGACACGTCATCACTATACTAGCAGATTTGCGCTACGTCACAGATTTTGATTTCGCCCCCAATATTTTTTTAAACCCGGAAGATGAAATTAGCTGACAAAAGCTCAAAATTGTCCAGTTTGTCCCCACAATTAAAGCTGAGATGTGCTAACGTTGTCTTAAATGATCCTCAACACATACAAATTTGTTAAAATCTCAAAAAAGTACTCCAGGGTGTCTTGAACCCTGAAAAAGGCGAACGAGTCAGACCATTTGCTCTATATGTTAAATTTCTGTCGGTCAAAACCAAGTTTGACCTGCCAAATCTCATCAGTTGACTGCGTGAGACCAATCGAGGATCAAAACATGATCTCTATGGACAGAAATTTTAAATGTGGACCAATCACTCGCTTTTTTTAAATCTCTAATCATCTTGTTTATTTCCACCCCTTTTCGCAGTGCTGTACGATGACTCAAACTCTAGTTTGCGGCGACATAAGACTTAAAAAAAGTAACTCGTACAATGTTTTCTATTTTTAAAAACAATAATAAAATGGTAGATGAACTCTCTTACGTCAGATAGTATGTTTTCTTGCACAGCTGGATGTTGAACTCATAAAAAAAATCGTGTGCACTGGCCAAAACTAATTAGCTGAACTTACACCAAAACAACACCCAACAGAGGATTCTACGTGCTCTTAAAACCTTTTTCGAAGGGCTATTTTCATTATTTATAGTAAAGCAGTTAAAATAGGACAAATAAGCTCATGTATGGGACAAATTCTGGACGTTTGTCAGGGTGGGGTGGGTCTTTTGAACCACCCAAACCCCCTCCCTGGCTACGGGCCTGTATATAGTGAATATACTAACAAACAAGAATTTGTTTATGAAGAGTTCAGATGCAAAAACCTCTAAAAGCCATTTGAAACTTCCTTTAAAAACGAGCCTTTTTTTATCAGGCTCCTGTCTGTAGGTTCAGTAAATTCAAGTTTATGGCAAAGAATACATCCTTTTTAAGGTCTTGAAAATTAAATAACTCAACATAAACATAAGAGTCTGAGAAAAAAAATGCTCAATTCCAATTGTAATATTAGACGGCACTTAGAGGTTTTTGCTTATAATAAATCACATCATGTATTGTAGATGGCATAGATATTAATATAACTTTTATTTCTGATTTTTTGCCGAATCAAATAATCACAGTCCTGCTTGGTTTAATAAGACTGCTTACATGCATGGATTTCGATGCTTTCCTGTTTGTTTTGATGAAATAGGCACAATAGAGCCAATATGAAAACGATGCGTTATGTAAATACCTTATACACAGCACATACTGTTCATTTATATTTGCATGTCTGAAAGAAAACAACTGTTGATACATAGCTGTGAAAAGGGAGAACTATTTTGTTGATTCCATGTAAAAATTATACATAAGAGTCTTACGTTTAAGCCCACATGGAATCTGTGCCCGCAGAAATACACAGCAAACTGCAGATTTCTGCACAATTTTGAGCCCGTCATTGATTCTATTTATGTGCTTAAAGTTAAAGTCAGAATTATTAGCCCCCTTTGAATTCTTTTTCTGCTTTAAATATTTCCCAAATAATGTTTAACAGAGCAACAAAATTTTCACAGTATGTCTGATAATATTTTTTCTTCTGGAGAAAGTCTTAATTGTTTTATTTCGGCTAGAATATAAGCAGTTTTTAATTTTTTTATATCATTTTTAAGGTCAAAATTATAAGCCCCTTTAAGCGATTTTTTTTACCGATAGTCTACAGAACAAACAATTATTATACAATAACTTGCATAATTACACTAACCTGCCTAGATAACCTAATTAACCTCTTTAAGCCTTTAAATGTCACTTTAAGCTGTATAGAAGTGTCTTGAAAAATGTCTAGTCAAATATTATTTACTGTCATCATGGCAAAGATAAAATAAATCAGTTATTAGAAATGAGTTATTAAAGTTATTATGTTTAGAAATGTGTTGAAAAAAATCTCTATGTTAAACAGAAATTGGGGAAAAAATAAATAGGGGGCTAATAATTCTGACTTCATCTGTATGTAAACGTGTCTATATATTATTCAGTTTTTATATTAAAGTAATATTGTTGAATAATATGCAATAGTTTATGTACAAAAATATTTAAATTAATATTTTCTATGTCTTTTAGTGGATGTTCACTTGCTAACTGAATTTACATTGTTAACAAATAAATAAATGCTTTTATTTTTATTTTGTGTGTTTTCAACTTCTATACTCACAGATCATTAAACAAAAGTCCCCAGATTCTCTCTGGCCCAGCTCATGGCCTACATCTGACCTTTGTGCAGTTGTCAAAACATGAATGAGCATGAATAAAGTATATTACTTTGAATAATTACCATTAATGAAGCATAACCAGTATTTCCAGAAGAGACTAGCAAGAAAACAATATGCAGTTCACAGTCCATGCTGATGACATGTAGAAGCAGGTGTAGTTTCACTATGCAAGTACATCATAAATGCATGAACTTCAGCTATAGAGCACAGAAAAATTCAAGAATCATCATGACAAGCTTGATGAAATTCTGACAGAAAATAAAACAACTTTTATTTTATTTTATTCTTTCCTATTACAATTCTCGGCCAAAACAGAAACCAAATATTCTGGATGCACTTGGCCAAAAACTGAAACCAAAACTGCTTTGTAATAATTAATTATTATTTTATTAAATAATACTAAAAGACTTTTTCATTTTATAAATAACCATATTTTGCTGACAATAAACGAGTCAAGAGGTTTCATTTGGCTAGTGCTGCCATGACAGCACAGTAGAATTATTGCAAGCAGCAGTAACAAGTATACTACATGGTATACTACTGTACATGTTGTCACAGTATGAAGGAAGACAAGTTTAAACACGAATATAGCTGTATAAGGGTGCTTTCACACCTACACTTTTGTTTCGGAACGTATCTCGTTTGCCCAGTTAGCGCGGTTCGTTTGGCATATGTGAACAGGGCAATCGCGCTCTGTTCCGCGCCAAAGTAATCGCTCCGAGATCGCTTGAGTGAGGTGGTCTCGGCTCGATTGAAACGAACCCTGGAGCGGTTCGATTGCAGTGAGAAAGCGATCCGATCCGAGCGCGGTTATATGACAGTGTTTTATGGATATGTAATAGGCTTATGGCTATATAAAGAGAGAATTATGAGTAGGGCAGGAAGTTTCGCGAGTCTCCGGATGCCCGCAAACGAGTGATGATCTCCCGGTAATCTCGCGTCTCTCTCCCAGTCCTCAAATAGGCATCGTTGCGCACCCTTCTCACCCCTCCCCACCGTGTCTCTCCTCAGACACGTCACGCGCGCGCACCCTGTCAATCACCACCAAACCACCACCTCTCCTGACAGCTGAGCGGGACGCTGCAAAATAAACCCTGACGCTCTGACCAATGTAAGGAGAGTTTACTCGCACGTGACTTGTTTTAGCTCTTTTGGTCCAATTAGAAACTTTGCAGTGTGAAAGCGAACCGCTCCAAGAGCAAAGAGCAACAATGTAACAATTTTAATCTCTGTTTCGGAACAACTGAATCGATTCACAGGTGTGAAAGCACCCTAAGACTGAAGGGCTAAATTCTGCAAAAACAACTGTCCTGGATGTCCTTGATTTATTCTCTTATTAATTCTTTCATGAGCGAAATATCATTAATATCTACAATATTGGCTATTTTGAACTTTAACTGCAGCCCGCACACAAGCTAGTCACAGTGCTCTTGCTTTTGGTCGACACAACAACAAACGGCCAAGCCATCAAAAAGAATGGGTTTCAGAGCACATCACTTTCTATGTCTGGTGTGAAAGTCACTTCAGACCATGCAGTGACTATGAAGCACAGCCTTTTTCATCTCATATTCATTTATTTATTAATTTTCGGCTTAGTCCCTTTATTAATCTGGGGTCGCCACAGCGGAATGAACCGCCAACTTTTCCAGCATATGTTTTATGCAGCTCATGCCATTCCAGCTGCAACCCATCACTGGGAAATCAACTTATATTTTTGTTTTTGTCTTGAAAAAGGCATTTTTTGGCAAACTTTTTTTTCTTTAAATTTGAAAAAACTTTTTCAGTTTTGGAGTGAAATGTTCAACTTCTACTCTGTGGTTTATTCTTGTGACCTCGCTCCTGATCCAGCAATCGCTGTTTTTGGTTGGTCTAACTCACTTTGTTGGTTCAGTCATCAGTTTAAAAAAGCTGACCAATATGGAATGGTGTTAGCTAAAAAAATATTCTTTGTTTATGGAAAAAGGCATCGAAACCACTTTTTAAATCCTGAATTTTGTAATTTTCTAACACTTCACATTTCAAGAGTCCCCACCTAGATATGCTTAGCGTTAATAGCAGGTTTGGCTTGCTGTCCTGGGAGAGAGCCCGGAGACACTTACGCCAAAGGCTCCCGCCCAGTCAATAGGCATATAAGGGGATCTTAGATCAGGTAGGTCTCGAGAGCCCCCCGTTAGAAAAGGGAGGAAAAGGAAAACGAAGGGATTCTTCCAAAACGAAGCCATTTATAGTAAGCTTGGGTCACTCTGATTGGATTACTACTTATTTCAGATGAGAAGCCAGGCGTGCTCAATCATATCGCGTGCTCCTCTCGAAATCAGTTTGTGAAACTTCACTTAGATAACATATCTGATAACATTGCTGGCTTCGATGCCACCTGGAAACCCTATTTTAGTGAATTGGCAAATGCCCATTATAACAGTTTAAAGGTATAACCCTGTCATCGTCTGCAAGATGACCATATTGCCTGTGCCCACTGGCCTAGATATACATGTGTAACATTGTTGACCCATGTATAATCCTGGAGGAACTGATGTAATAATAGTTTTAAAATCTTTTTTTTTTTTTTTTGCTTTTCCTTTTTTTGTCTTTATAAATTTTGTTGCTTTTTGTATTGGTCTGTGTTGCTTTAAGAAAATTAAAATATATATAAAAAAAACTGTTAAAAAAGTTTCAAAAGATTGAACTGTATAAAATAGATTCCTCACAGAATTAATAGAACATGCTTGCTAGTTAAAATGCTTTTACAGACAGAACATGTGGGAGGATCTTCTCCAAGTATTAAAAACTTGTGTGTCATCCTGAAGTGACCGATTCTACAATGGGTAAAAACAATCTGGTCCCACCAGTTGGAGAATATATATACCTTTCTTTTATTATTATGAACAACACTGGCTCTGATGTGAACCATATGACATGACTCACCGATTAATAGCATTGCTGGTGTTTCTGGGTTTGGGTTTAGGTGGAGTTGCTGGATTTGAGTTGGCAAAGGCTTTTGTCATGGCTGCTACACGTCCTCTCTCTAGAGCTTTGACTGAGCGTCTGCGATGATCCTCGATTGTCTGTTTGGCGAGAGATCGTCTGCGCATGTCTGCAGCTTTAGACTTCTGCACTAAAACCACATGCAAAAATCACACTGGTTATTCTTATTATATATGCATCAGGGAGAACATAACACCAGAAAGAGAACTACTGACAACAACACTTCCCTTTTCAGACAAATATCATAAAGCCTGTTAGGATCCCCCTTGCCCCAATTATGATTCTTGTTACTGTAACAAAAATGTATCACCAAGTATTAAAAGTATGGATCACATATTAGATTTACAGTACAAACATTTTTTTTCCCAAATTCACATACATAGGGTTTTTCACAGTGTATTCACAAAACAATCAAAGATCGGATTCCCAAAATTGTAGGAATAAATGAAATGATATAATACTAAAAAATTTCCATTAATAAAAAATGGAAGTTACATTAATGATTTAAGGACATTATAAGAAACAAGAAAATCAATACACTTATAATTGTTTTGCATATCATCAAAAAGAAACGGATAAAATTAATTTGTTGCTTTTCAGTTACAACTCAATTGTGTACTTTTTTTTGTCATATTGTGGCACCCAGTCAACCCTTTTTTTAATTTTTTTATTTATTTATTTTTTATTACCTAAACTATGTACACATGGAACTATGAGGATGGCATTTTTAGGATCTTAAATGTACAATATTTAAAATACCTTATGTTCTTCTTTCTGTCTTTCGGTTATTTTTTCTCTCATTACTAGTAATAATACAAAAAATAAACAAAATAAAATTCACATCTTTCTAACTATTCATTCATTCTATAATAAATCTGGTCTTAACGGCAGAATATAATCTACCCATTTCCTCCATGTCTCAATAAACTCCTCAGTCTGTAGACGACGGTTCATTGTTAGCCTCTCCGTCTTATAGATTTCATAAATTATGTCAAACCAGTCACTAATTTGAGGTATTTCAAGCGGTAACCATTTTTTGGTTATAGCATTTTTTACAGGCTATCAGCAAAATTTTCAGCAGTTTTTTGTCAGATTTTTCTTCTAACATAGGATTTTTTTAGGCCTAAGTATAAAGTTGAGGAAGAAAAATCGATGGGGATATAGAATATATTTTCTAAATATTTATGAATGTCTTGCCAAAATGCCTGGATTTTTAAACATTTCCAGAAAATATGTGAATGATTTGCTTTATTTGAGCCACATAATCTCCAGCAGACTGCCTTTTTGTATAAATGTGTCTTTTGCTCAGGGATGACGAAAAAACGAATGATGTTTTTCCAACCAAATTCCCTCCAGACTGAGGAGGATGTTGATTTCCACTGTGTTTTAAAAATTATTTTCCACTCTTTCTCAGTAATTTCAATTTATTTTTTATATAATATGTGTTCTCTAATTTATTGTCTTGTAGACTTTTATACAACAAAAATTTTAACTAAAAAAGATGTAGTAGTGTAATGACGATACTGAAAATTGACAAAAAAAAAAAAGATAACAAATAATGAGATTATTTTTATGGAATTGCAGTAATGAGAAAGTAAGAGTATTTTGGGTGACAAAACAAACAAGGAGATATATATTTTGTAAAAATTTTCTGTTAATATAATACATTTACAACTTGCTTTTCAATGTTCTCTGGACATTTTGAAACAAGAAATTACATTAAAAAAACATTAAATGAACATCCAAATCAAATATTTCATGTTTCAGAAATACATCTAACGCGTTCAGAACATTGAGGGTTCATCCCTGTGCCCTAATCATCATGTTCCCTTCTAAGGGGTTTCGAAATGTTCGCTGTTGACATTGTAACATAAGTACATGTTCACTGTTAGATCAATTAATTGCTTTAATAAAAAAAACTTGACAAGTGACAAGTTGAACTTTTAAGGTGACTTAAAATTCAGCAAACTACAGTATGTGAAAAATGTGAAAATTAAGTCAATAGGTTTAACTGTCACCGTCTCGCTACCGGGACACTTAAGATAACTTCACTATATGTCAGTCTAATCCTAATCATGATTCTATCATGAATCATGATGCCTATATCTTCTAAATAAATATTTTACCATATGTCAATACAATATATTTTATAATATGTCACCTATTGGACTGTTTGCAGTTACATTTTTAAAGTCTAAACATAAGTCAGTAATGACAAACTATATATGATTTCAAAGCTTAAAATGTCTATTTTTTGATGGTTTAATTGATTTTAAGGAATTATTACTGAGCAACAGTTATTTATTTATTTTGAAACAGGAGTATTGATCAGAGTATTGATGTCTTAAGAGAATCAATTTTAATGAAACACAACAAAACACTGTCCAAACTGTGTTGAACCCTTTTAAATATAATAAAAATTGTACATCTGTCTAAAATGAGACTAAGCTTATATCTATATAGCAAAGTGTTGAAGATTGGCGTTCATTTAAGTCCTAGGTCTCAAACTCAATACCTGGAGGGCCGCAGCTTTGCACAGTTTTGCTCCAACCCTAATCAAAGATAGCTGATCTAATAATGTCTAGTGATCTTGACAACTTTGACTCGTTGGATCAGCTGTGCTTAATTAGGGTTGGAGCAAAACTGTGCAGAGCTGTGGCCCTCCCGGAATTTGAGGTCTATGAAGTTGAACATGCCATTTTCATGTCTATGTTCAAAAAGTGGGGGTTGCAGTTAAGGGGTTTTAATCACTTTCTACAAATAAAGTCAACTAATGGATTATTCAGAGATCCACCTGAATGTCCAGTACAGTAATGCAGATCCTAAATGAGTAGTACATGTAACAAATACAAGTTAAAATATAACAATAAATAATAAACTCATAAGAAAATAAGGTGTAGTGTTCAGCACTGATGAGGTTTGTCTTACATGTCTCCTTCCAGTCCTTATCCTCCTCCTCTAGTGTGTTTTTGCTGCTCTGCACCTCCTTTAGGCACTGGTAAATCTGCTGTTTCCTCTCCTGCTCCAGCCTCCTCAGCTCCTCCTCAGCCTTACGCCTCTCCTCCTGCTCCATTTTCTGAGCAAAAACAAGCATCCAGAGACCACAAATAAACTTAAAAGGAGAAAAAGGGAACAAAGGGTAACAAAAAAAGCCCCTGCAATAAGTAAAGTATTAGTTTACACAAAATATAAATTCAGTTATTAATTACTAAAACCCCCTGACACCTTTATTAATCTTTAGAATACAATTTAAGGTATTTCAGGTGAAATGTGAAAGCTCCCTCAAACTCCATACACAACAATGGTTTTGACTCGAGCAGAAAGGAACCAAAAGCATCCTCGAAACAGACCACACACCTGCAGTGGTTCATTCAAAATCCTATCATGTCAATTGTGCTCATATAAAACAGGAATAATGTCTTTATTCAACAGTTTCTCTCCTCAGTGTGAGTACAGGGTGTGCACCACATTCATGAGCACTGTGCACTGATGCATACCCTGGATGCCCATGACCAACTTTGAAACAAAGCACACATTTTATGAGAACCTGCACTGTAAAAAAAAAAAAAAGAAAAAGAAAAGAAAAAAGAAAAAAAAGTTGACTCAACTTAAAATTGTACGGCTTGGTTAAAACTTTACAAAAGGTCCAAACATCATCTGTATGTGCTCGTCATGGGATTCTACTGTGCAAAGTAGTCCACAGGGTTCACTGGTCTTAGTGTAAACTGGCTCGCGTGTTCACTGCTACAGATTTAAACTGTGACAAATGTCACTCCGAACCTGCAAATCTACTTCACATGTTTTGGACCTATCCAGCTTCGTTTCCTTCTTGGGAGTCTGTTTTTGATTCATTTTCAGTAATTACATTTATTAAAATTGATCCATCTCCGTTAATTGGCCTGTTTGAAATTATTCGTCAATACACACACACACACACACACACACACACACACACACACACACACACACACACACACACACACGCGCAGGCACGCACACACACACACACACACACACACACATATATATATATATATATATATATATATATATATATATATATACACATACATACACAGTTGAAGTCAGAATTATTAGCCTTCCTTTGGATTTTTTTTCTTTTTTAAATATTTCCCAAATGATGTTCAACAGAGCAAGGAAATGTTCACAGTATGTCTGATAATATTTCTTTTTCTAGAGAAAGTCTTATTTGTTTTATTTTGGCTAGAATAAAAGCAATTATAAATTTTTTAAACACCATTTTAGGGAAAAAATTATTAGCCCCTTAAGGCTATTTTTTTCTTCGATAGTCTACAGAACAAATCATCATTATACAATAACTTGCCTAATTACCCTAACCTGCCTAGTTAACCTAATTAACCTAGTTAAGCCTTTAAATGTCACTTTAAGCTGTATAGAAGTGTCTAGAAAAATATCTATTAAAATATTATTTACTGTCGTCATGGCAAAGATAAAATAAACTAGTTATTATTAGTTATTAAAACTATTATGTTTAGAAATGTGTTGAAGAAATCTTCTCTCCGTTAAACAGAAATTGGGGAAAAAAATAAACAGGGGGTCTAATAATTCAGGAGGAAATCATGTTTTTTTTTATTTTTTCATAAATCACACTTTGATTATATACAGCTACACAGCTAACATGAAACAGACTGATATTTCCTAGTTCCTCTGAAAGGCCCTCTGATTCCCTCTGCAGCGATTCGTGGATCAGCTCCACGTCATGCCCGTACAAGCATGCGCTTTTCTGCTGTGTAAACAGTCAGTCAACCTCCTGCCTGCTCTCTAAAATAAAATCTGACATGTGTCTGTAACGAGTGAAAATGGGGTGCGACTCATTTAAGAGACATCGCTATTGCGTGTGTCTGTGTGAATGTGTGAACTTTCTGTATATGTGTGTAACATTTATGCGGGACTTTCTTTTTCTTTTTCTCTGATGCTCGGATTAAGTTATTTTCTGTAATATATCGTCACACTGTTTACAGAAGAATAAAACACAAGATGTGGGATGAGACCTGTGTGAGCCTTGATTTATTTTTCTGCTGCTATGAGTCAGGTGAGCTATTGTGTATTTTTTAACTCAACGCGTTACACAACGTCTTTCACATATATCCGGAATATGCAGGTGTAAGTAATATGAATCATCCACATATCTTTTGCAACTTCTTAATCTGAGATGTGAAACGCATAGAAAAGCTGCCTAAAGAGAAACAATGCAAAGTCGTGCACACACATAGAGAAAGGCTGCACACGCCGGTGAAGTATGTGTGTGTGTGTGTTTACAGCAGTTTGACTGATAAATATGAATTTGTAGCTAAATCATTTGTGGTGGAAAACAGCATTACCCATTGTTTACATCGTTGCTACAGCATACCGTTAACACTAGACACTGTACATGTCATGATCCATTTTAACAAATAAAAACACTTACAGGTTGTAGTTCACAGCTTCTGCTTTGAGGAGATTTTAACCGAATCCAGCACTGAACTAGGAGAGATTCTGGAGCTGTGTTTTGTCAAATCATGCTTGCTGTGTGTTTTATAATTCTCTGGAACATAATTAATATTGAACTGTAAGCACTTCTCTTTGTGTCGTGTCCTTTGGAAGCCCAAATACAGAAACAGAAGAAGTTCTGTGGAAATAGCAGCGTTTGGACTGCTTTTTAGCTCTCTCTGCTGTAACGTTACAGCGCCTCTGGCCACAGCCCTTAGCTGTGTGTGTGCGGTAAAAGTACGTTTGTGATCTCACAAGGCCCGCAAGCATTTTTTTGTAGTCCCCAAAATTCGTTCATTGTAGGCTTTGCTAAGCTAACTCTGTAAAAACCAAGGTCTCCCTTTGCATTGAACTTTGAGCTTTTAACATTCACAGATGCTGTTTATGTTTACACAGCTACATTACACATCAACTAAAGTTTAAAATATAATATCATAGTGGACCACCCCTTTAATAAATTGTATTGAAAACATTCTAAAAGAAGCTTTTTGTAAATATCCGCTTGATAATTTTATGTACCATATTTAAGTAATCTTTAGGGACTAATTTAATAAGACTAAAGGCATAATATGTCAAATAACTTCGTTAAAATACTCAAAAAAAAAGTCCAGTAGGATGACCACAACTCCCATGATTCCATGCCCTCTTGGGGGGGTCAAATTACATTTAAGTTATTAATAATGCAAATTACAATGAATGTGCCTCTAATTATTCATCACATTCTGAAATTAATGAGGTTAAAAAACAATATCAATTGACAGCTACTGATTGTTACTGTTTGTCATAGGTGTGAGTCAGCAGTACCTTGAGTTCCTCCTCTGCTTTTCTCTGTTGAAGAGCCTCAGCCTGTTTGGCTTTCTGCTGGACTTCCTGATCTGACAATACAACCTGCTCCGGTTCAAGATATATTCCAGAGAAACGCTTCTCCAGCTCTGCTGCTTTCTTAACCCTTGGCAATTGTAAGAGAAAACAACATAGAAACCACATATGCATAGGTTATGAGAGGTAGCTGACTACTCACAGAACAGAAAAATGCTGCTATGAAAAGAGGCCATGAAGGTCAGTGAGAACATTCTATGTACACGCCAGGTAAATTCCTTCACATTTGCATACTCACATACAGCACAAAAGAAATTCCTTTTTCTTACTGTCTGTCTAGTATGGTTTGTGGAAGGTTTTCCAAGACAAACAGGTTTCTTCACCTATTTTCCATTATATGAAACTAAGCCAAATATCAATTTGGACTTGGGCCCATATTTTATGGTATTATTGTGGCTGTGACATGATAACAAAAGGTTTCTACTTGAATCCCCTTATTACTGTAAACAGAAGCCTCTTCAGCTTTACTTCTGCCCTTTTGCTCAGTGCAGTTATCTACAGCACATATTGCATCATGGGAATACTAACCATATGTTTGTTGAACAGATTTACACAAAAGCAGTTTAATAATTAAAAAAAAATGCTATTTTAACTTCAGTCTAATAGTTTTATTGAAAAAACATAAGGAGGACGTAGCATAGTAGAAACAGTATTGGAGCACTGTGCTGCAACATTCCATTAAACCGGTAAAATATTTAACCAGTGTTGACAGAGTCGATTACTTTGTAGTTCATGCCAAGCAATACATTTTCAGTCAAATAACAATAAGTGTTATTTCAGAGTGTCACTATGTTCAATTTAAAACATTAAAGTCATTGAAATAATTTCATAATAATCTAAAAACATTTTGGAAATATAAAACAAAGCTTGTGATCTTATATTGATGATAATGCGAGGCAATTCAATCTTCAAATTATTAATGTAAATGTAAAATAAAATGCTCTATTATTTGTAATGATGAAATGAAATACAATATAATCTTAGATGAAAATTGTAGATATATTAAGCACAAAAAATTGCAAACTGGAGATAAGTAAACAAACATTTAAGATTTGAAATAAAACCGAAAAAAATCTCAATAGTAATATTTATAATAAACATAAATAAAATATGCATAACACAATAGCCCCTTTCACACATACAGACCTTTCCGGAAAATTACCGGCAATTTTCCGGAAAGGTGTGTATGTGTGAACGGGCCCTTTTTGAAAAAACCGGTAAATTCATTCCGGCTATTTTCCGGAAAGAGAAGTTGTAACATTACCGGCAATTTGCCGGAATGCTGCGCTGTGTGAACGCAGAAGGACGATTTCCGGAAAGAGCGCGTCCACGTCTAGATCGTGCTGACGTGAGACGTCTACTTTAGCCAATCAGAACAGTCAGACGCATTCCCGTGCGCGCGGTTTATGAGAATAAAAGCCTTTGAATATTTTTCCAGACACCTTTAGCTGCTAGATGTTAGTCAGATAACGTGTATATGTTCCTTCTTAATGCTAACTTTGTAAATAATTATCGATAAAAAGTTTATGATTATACGTTGTTTGTTTACCTTCAAGCTTTGCGTGTGCCCGTGAGCACCCATAGCACCAGCAAACACACATATCATGAACATCTCGACATGCGCAAGTGTTTCTCTATGTTTTCATTGGAGTTGTTCACAATACTGATCCATCCACAGAGTTTGTGATGTAGTCAAATGTTTACAAACACAAGCGCAACCGTTTAGAGCTCATTTCTAGTTAATGATGTCAGAATTTACCGGTATTTTGGGATGGATGTGTGAATGCTCTTTTCCGGAAAATTTCTGTAACGTCCTCGCCTGTGTGAACAGGGCTTTTTTTGAATTTACCGGTAAAGTCGTTCTGGAAATTTTCCGAATATTTACCGGTATCACTGTGTGAAAGGGGCTAATGTCTAAATCCTAAATAGAACACACAATAAAATAAGTTATATGCACCAAGAATATAAACGACAGTACATAAATATATACTAATATTTCAGATTCTCATGCTGTATTTCATCAAATAATAATTGTGGTTGCGTCATTAATGAAAGCTATTGACCTTATTCTAAAATGCGGAAGTGCGCTTGTTTTTGCGATTGTTTTAAAACTTCAGATTCAATCGTCTATTGGAGAAATGACTAGGAATAATTAACGGTCAAACTAATTACTCTACAAACAAATGTTTGCATGACTAGTTGGCGCCAATAGCCTAGTGGTTAGTGCGTCAACATATAGCACCGAGGTGCTCGCAGTGACCAGAGTTCGATTCCTAACTCAAGGTCCTTTGCTGATCCTTCCTCTATCTATGCTCCCCACACATTCCTGTCTCTACATCTCCACTGTCCTATCAATAAAGGTGAAAACCCCTAAAAAATAATTATAAAAAAATATATATATTTTTTTTTTTGCATGACTATACAAACCAAGTAGAACAATATAATAAGGAAATATCAGTTTACAACATCAAACAGAGAAACGAGACGTTTTTAATGTCTAAAAATGAATGAAAGTGAATGAGACCGGAAGTCTCGAGTCAGAAATATTCAAATGGCTGCGCCCGCTCGTCTACGAAGAATAAGGTGAATAATATAGTTGTTTTACCTGAGTTCCTCAGCCTCTCTCTGGGCCTGCAGGGCTGCTCTCTGGGCCATGATCTCATCACAGACTTGATCATAGGGTTTGTCATTTTGATGTTCTCCCATCACCCAAACCCAAACATCATCATCCAGACCCTTCATCCACGACACACTCTTTCCTGAAACTGCATAAATTACATGTATTTCAAAACATTCACACTACTGACAATATTTTTTTGCATTGAATGAACGTAGTGACCAGCCATGCCTCATGAATATCATGGTAACCCTTTACTAAATCCTCTATTTGATAATATTAGTTAATGAATGTCAACATGTAAAAACAATGAACAACACATGTAATTTTTATGTAAACGTGCACTTGACATAAGCGTGAACATTACACTCACTTTTTTGGCAGTGCCTCTTTTGAGATGTCGTGTCAAGTTAAAATAATATAAACCTTTAAATGCAGCACCACTCATCTGTTTACAGTAGCAAGCTATTTTATTTGATGGCAACATGGTGGAGCTTTTTAAAGGTCTACGTGACTGAGACTTTTATTTCAGTATGTTGATGTACTTCCAACCAAAACGGAATATTAAGTATGAGTGTGGCTGTCTTTTGTACATCATTCTCTCACATTAAACTAAAAAGTTAAGGGAGGGTATTAATATGCACTTAGTTTGGAAGCCCTCAGGTTGACATCAACAGAAAAATTGACACTTCATACACTTAAGCGAATGGTCCAACTTGCATTAAAGATTAACAAAACAAACAGTTTTTTTTCAATGGATTATAACTTGCACAGATTAATAACTTACTTTAAAAATAACAATGAGTGCTAGCAAAATAAACATTGCAAATTTAGATCTCATGTGGACTTTCAAAATCACTCTTGACCTTGGTGTCTCACCATTTTTAGATGCAAAGACACATTCTGTATGAACGACCCTAAAGTATCTTCATCAGCCATTTAGATTCATGGACTCAACAAACCCCATAGTGTAACTAATGCTAACATGCACAACTTTAGATTTTAATAACGCATTACTGAATGTTAAACTATGATTAATAAATGCTGTGCAAGTATTTTTCATTCTTACTCCATGCTAGTAAATACATGAACTTAACATTAGTCTTCCACCGCCCATGGACCTGTAGCTAAAGTTTTTGATTGTCTTAATTTTAAAAGTTTTCTTAAAGGGGCAGCTATTTTACCCCTTTTTCAGGATTTAATACAAGTCTTTTGTGTCTCTAGAATGTGCCTGTAAAGTTTCAGCTCAAAAAACCCATCAGATTATTTATTATTCCGTTTTAAAAATGGGAAACTTGAGATGTTGAGACATTGTAGCTGTTTTTGTTGCCTGTGCCTTTGATACAAATGAGCTAGTTCTCCCCGTCTAACGTTCCCTTGTGCATGGCTTCACAATCTCTGGTTAGATTACCGAAGAGACCGAGCAGGCTGATGCTCAATCAACAGGATAAGTTAGTGCCAGGCCTTGTAGAAATGTAAAAACCAAGAGAAGAATTTTAAAAGTAACTCGATAGTGTACAGGCAATCAGTGCTAAGCGCGTGAAACTGGTGTAACGTGGTCATGTTTTTTGGCACCTGTTTAAAGCGGTAAAGTCTAGATTGGATATGCGGCCGGCCAGAAGTGCGATATACACATTAATAAAGCAGCATTTTTTTTAATGACACTGTATAACAACAACTGTTTTTACATTACTGTGACGGTTGGGTTTAGGGTTGGGGTGGGGGTGGACGTTAATAAAATACAACAAATGAGAAATTTAATAAATAATAGAAATATTTCTCGTTAACTTCCGGCCGCAAACGTATCAGCTCTAGCAACAACCGTTTAAAGCCTTGCAGCAGCATTTTGACTTCCTCTCTTCCTTATCTTATGTGTTGGGTGTCAGAAGCTTAAAGTTGTGTAGCGCCATCTAATGATAAGGAGTGATTTTGCATACTCTTCTGCTTGACGCCAGTGAAAATTGCTTGGGTTTGAATACGGAAAAACGTCTCGTAAAACGCTGACGAATAACGCAAACGAAAAGCGTCCCGGTGTGTAGGAGCCTTAAGAAATAAAATTACTATGGGAGTCAATGGGTGCCAGCAAGCAACTTTTTTAAAAAATATCTTCTTTTGTGTTAAAGAGAAGAAGAAAGCGCAAATAGGTTTTGAACAAGTGAAGAGTTAATAAATGATAGCTGAATTTTCAGTTTTCCATCGCCGACGGCAGATAGACATCACAATGCGGAGCCAGCATCACGATCCTCTGCCCCGCCTTCGTCGCAGCAGCAACCCGCTCGAGAAATACACACACTGGCATTTCATATAGCATTTCTGAAAAGATCTCCCTCCACACTATACCGCTGAAAACGCACGCGCACACACACACATAAACACACATAAACACACACACACACACACACACACACACACACACACACACACACACACACACACGAGCATGCGCTGCAGCATACGCTCATGTCTGAGCTCCAGGTGACTGCGGGTGCTTTAAACACAAAACCTCAGAGAGCAGTGCACGTCGAACAGTTTATCAAGAATGTACCGCTGAATCGTGTCTCACTATAGTTGTTAAAGGTGATATTTAATTAATCTTGTCTCAGGTCACAGCGTCAGTACACTGCTTCAATCTTTCGCTTTCACGCTTGTACTTAGTAATTTTAGCGAAAACCTCAGAGACAGATCACTCAGCCTATTCATGCCAGAGTCCTGCGGAAAAAGTGATTGACAGGTGGTGATTTGTGTGTAATTTTATTTATTTGTGATTTGGTTATGAGTAAAATAAAGACCATGTGGGTCAGGTAGTTGAAACGGTAGGCTAATAACTAATAATTAATTCTTTATGAATTAAATAATTATTCATAAATAATGAATTCACCGCAGCCTACGACGACAATCCCATCATTCATCCTGATGTTTCACATTAGACACTGTAAGATGTCAAATTGGTCGACATCGCCCAACCCTATTTTCACTGTCCCTTTATTGTGTGATATGACGAAACAGTGATCTTAAACAGAAAAGTATTTTCAATTCAAATGATTGCAGGTTTGGCTAGAAAACAGCATTGCATAGATCTCAACTTAACTGCTTATTCACATCTTAATGACAAAATGTTTGTGGAAATAAAAACCTTTTTTGGCTTTGGCATGTGCGGCTTCCTGTTTCTCCAGCTGTGTCTCTCTTTCTTTCCATCTCCTGATCTGTTCTTCTCTCATTTTAAAGAAGAGAACTTGTTTCTGTTCCTCGTTCAGCTCAGCCAGGAGATCCGGCTCAATGTACATGTCGATCAGTATCTGCTGCAGCATCTTCCCGTGTCACTGACAAACACCACCTTGACAGAACTCAAATATCTTCAGTCAGCAGAGGGGTAATAGGGGTGTCTCTTGTTCTTTGAGAGAGGTGGACTGTAAAAACACAACCATTTCAAACTCTTTTATGTTCTTCCTCAGACGAAACGTTATAGAAAATAAATTACGATACTTTACACAAACAAAGAAAAAAATACATCATAAACAAAACATTTCAACCACATAAAGCTAAAAAAAAATCTCAAAGAGAGAGAAAAAAGTTGGAGATAGATTTAGTTTGGGTTCTACCAATAAGGATTAAGCATTTATCTAGATTAAGATTTTGAATTATTTTGGATTGTTACCTGATAAGACTAATACATTTACATTTACAAATGAGGACAAGGAAGCAATTTACACAACTATAAGTGCAACAATGAATAAGTGCTGTAGGCAAGTTTCAGGAATGTAAAGTGTAAGAAGCAAAACATTAGTATTTTTTTTTCTGTAATACAGTTAGCGATGGAGCCAGAGAGGCAATTGCAGATAAGGAAGGAAAGTAATGGATGAAAAAAAAAAAAAAAAACAATAGATGAAAAACACAAAATAGCAACAGGAAATGTTGAGAATTTTTTTTACCACTTCATTTAGCCTAATTTCTTGCAAAAAATGCTTTTTAGCAACTCATTTCGTTTGGTATACTTTGTATCTTTATTTTAATGTATTTTTGCTGGTCAGTTATCTACAAAATAAACTAAATAAATCAATACATTTTAGGTAAAGTGGCATTTTTTTTTTAATAATAAAGGAATTATGAATTCAATTCAAGTAGGCCTATTATAACATTTTAAAATATAATATTTGACAATTTTCTTTATTTAATAGATTTGAGTTATGAATTACAGCATTACAATACTACTTGGTATCACAATACTTTAGCTGGTATAGTATCGTAACATGAATTAATGGTATCGCGACAACCCTAGTTTGTAGACTACCTAAAGGCATCACTTTAGTTTTACTGAAATTAATCCTATAACCTGATAGGCACTAAAATCTTTAATAACATTAATAAAATTATTTAAAGATATTTCTGGTTTTGATAAGAAAACAAAACAAAAATGAGACGAATCTCATGTACTACATTAAAAATCATTGATTAGCTTTAACATCTGCTTCATTTTAATTTCCATTGTTGGAACCAAATGATGAACACAGAATTGTTATACATATCAATTAGAAATCAGTATTGTGAGATGTAAAAAACTGAACAAGTAAAAAGTCAGATAAAATATAACTGAAGGCATAAACAGAATTCTGACTCCTTTTTGTGGGGAAATTTGGATATTTAAGCTCAGAAATGCTGGAAACAAAAGTCACAATTACACTTAAGTCACAATGTAAAAACATAGGAATACAGTGTAGTCTAACTGTTAAACGGATGTCTGGTAATCTCGAGACAAATTTATCATATTTGAACAAACCCAGAAGTTTTACATACAATATAAGAATGTAAACAAGCAACAGGAAGCTACACAAAACAGTCAATCAATCAATGCCAGATCAAATCCAGCACTAATGACTCACACACGCAGAGAGAGAGAGAGAGAGAGAGAGAGAGAGAGAGAGAGAGAGAGAGAGAGAGAGAGAGAGAGAGAGAGAGAGAGAGAGAGAGAGAGAGAGAGAGAGAGAGAGAGAGAGAGAGAGAGAGAGAGAGAGAGAGAGAGAGAGAGAGAGAGAGAGAAAAGAGAGAGAGAGAGAGAGAGAGAGAGAGAGAGAGAGAGAGAGAGAGAGGTAAACTTACCGCTTTAATCAAGTCTTGACACACTCATTACTCGCATGGGGATTTGAGAAACACTTCAGTGGCTTACCTAAAAACAATCCCAAAAAAACGCCGACTATAACCTTTCATTCCTTTGAGAACTACACCTAACATTAGGAGAAACCTGTACAGAAAGGTAATTCTCGAGTGAAGTCAGTGGTAATGTTGAACACACCCTTAAAACTCAAACTCAGTTCCCTCCTACACTTGGTTCTTCCTCCGGCTCCGTGTGAAAGACACATTCAGCTGCATGAAAGGTGCTTTATGTGCCGCTCTTATATTTGTTTGCTTTATTAGACATGCGCGCAGTTCCTCTTAAATGCCGTCAGCCACACAATTCTAACTCATTTACTATAGCAATATAGTATATTTTGGTATATTTTGGATACATATTTAGTTACACATAGCGTAGCTAGCTTTAGCTTACATCCGTCCAGCAGATTCTTTTAAACCTCACAGTGCAGGTGAAAGGCGAAAAGTGCAGAGACTCAGCGTGGAATGTGTTGTTCAATGACCTCTGACACGGATAGGAAACAATTTTAAAGATTGAGTGATTTTAAGCAATTTTTCAAAGTTAAATTAAACGTACATAAACAGAGCGTTATACATTATGCACTGTTCATAATACAATATTGCATAATTAAATAACACAAATATTGATTAGTTGTGACGAACGACCCGCACTAGATAGAGCACTTGTCCATAAAAAAACACTGAAATAGCATATGGGTTGACAATATCTTAATGTTACCTTTCAGATTGGCATGCATACATTGTTTTGTTTTATGTTGAATTTAATGTACATAAACAGCGTGATAAAATAGTTTCATAATACCTCTGATTTGCATATTTTAAAAATCTTGATTTGAGCAATATCAGTGGTGACGAACAACCCACACTAGGTGGCGCACTTGTCATAAACCACCACCGAAATCGCACATGGCTGAAATTTCTTGATTTTCTTTCAGAGGCCTATGCATACATTTTATATATTAATCATGTAGTTTCAGTATGCTGTATCCACTGAAAAATAATAATGTAATGTAATATTTTAACAGTGTGTAGTGCAATAAGATTGTCATTGTGAGATTTTTTGTGTTTAATAAATCAGTTTCCTTGGCAGATGGACTGAATCATTATAAGGACACAAACATATACGTAATTAATGAAAATAAACAGCACATAGTTCGAACAATTAACTCTTATGAACTGCTTAGTTTCAGTGAATCATGTAGCATCCAATTTTCTGTTGCCTGAACTAAAATGGTCCTGTGGTCCACTACAGTGAACATGCTGTAAAATTAAAAATAAAAACAAAACGTAAAAAATGTAAAAACTCTAAATTGTAGATTTTTTTTAACCCAAAGGAGGTAGGAAATCACACATAAAAAAAGAAAAAAACATTCTTTGGGGCGACGCAGTGGCACAGTAGGTAGTGCTGTCGCCTCACAGCAAGAAGGTCGCTGGTTTGAGCCTCGGCTCAGTTGGCGTTTCTGTGTGGAGTTTGCAGGTTCTCCCTGCGTTCGCGTAGGTTTTCCCCACAGTCCAAAGACATGCGGTACAGGTGAATTAGTTAAACTAAATTGTCCATAGTGTATAAGTGTGTGTGTGAATGAGTGTGTGTGTGGATGTTTCCCAGAGATTGGTTGCGGCTGGAAGGGCATCCGCTGCGTAAAAACTTGCTGGATAAGTTGGCGGTTCATTCAACTGTGGCGACCCTGGATTAATAAAGGGACTGAGCCGACAAAAAAATGAATGAATGAATGAACATTCTTTGGGTCTGAGGAGGATACAATCATTATTTATTTAGAAGCTGAACTTAAGTCAATGGAATTATTTATTATTTAACTTATTTATTTAAATATAAAGATATAATATATAAAAATATTGAAATATAAAAACCATATAAAATATTTTCATATACTCAATACAGGTTAAGTAGTTTTGACATTGATGTAGGAGTGGTGAGGTGTGGATAGCGATTCTTTGTCCAATTGAACTTATTTGGTACATTATAGGGGATAGATTTTTCTTTCTGAAAATATTTGGAAACTCTATCGATGGCACAGTCAATCACAAAGGAAGTATATCGACATAATAGAGGTAAAGTTGGTTTTATTTTCACACATTCGTTCATTTTACTGTCTCTATATTGTTTACCACGCTTATTTGAATATTCAATCGGAATTAGCATACAAGTATGACTTTAAAACAACAACATTACCATCTAATAGACTGTAAACAATGCTGTACTTTGATAGTCACTAACTGCTAATATGATTTCCCTATTTAGAGTTTGCAAAGAATACTTTTCTGAAAGTATATTATTAAGGAGAATGTCTGAATATCTGAATATAAAACCAACTTTACCTCTATGTCAACATAGACCTAGATCTCCTCTCCTTATATTCGGTAAGATAAACGCAATCATCATCATATTATGTTAATGAAACTGTCAAATGCCATTAAAACTGGATCAGACTTACCCCTGCACAACAGATCTGTAGGTAGAATAACAGAATTGAAAACATTGGCCAGGATGTCGACGTAGGCTGTGCTATTTCATTAAGTTTAGTACATTTACATCGAAAGTCAAGCTAAAACTCACCAACATTCATTAACATTTATGCAAATCACGTAATGGAAACAGCACAAATACACAGTGGGTAAAATGAATAGGCCTATTGAACACTTCACAGTTTTCTTAGAAAAAAAAAGGTGTTGTTGACTTGAAATCTTCATTAGATGTCAGTTACGACCACAGTAAAATACTAATGAGATATAATAATAATTACTAACTTATTGGTTTAGAAATTAAGTCATGTGTAATACAATTAAATCATACAGGGAAAATGTATTGAACACAGGTAAGGAAAGTGTAAAAAGCCAGTAGTTAGTAAGCAGTCCTGCCCAACATAAGTGTACATTAAGATTGTCTGGATTAGTCTCGAGTCCCGAATCCTACATTATCAGGATGATGAAGATGAAAGCAGGGTGGACATTTCAGCTAGACAATGAAACAGAGCCAAGGAAACTATTAAATGTTTTAAAAAAGAAAACAAACCTGCTAGAATTCCCCAGATAATCTCCTAAATTAAATTAAATAAAAAATAAGAACTAAAGATCTGAGTTGAGTCCGACAGATCCATCAAGATTTTTAGACTCTGTTGAAGTATGGGTAAAAAAAAAAGCACACCTGAGCAATGTATGCGACTTCATTCTCTATAAAAGAGGCATCTTGAAGCTGTCGTTACCAAAAAAAAAAAAAAAAAAAGCCTTTTAATCAAAGTATTAAATACATTTAAGTTGTTCAGCACCTCCTCCTTGTCATTCTTAAATTACTCTGTTGTGGTAATTCTATAACACAGGGAGACACAACAACTATAGTAATGTAAATATTTTACCCGATACTGTTTTTTTTTTTTTTTTTTGTAGAACTATAGGGTTCATATTTTTCTATATTACACAATAGTTTACTGTAGTAAAACACTAAGTATTCTATAGTATTTATTACAATTGATCAGTTATAATTAATATAAGTTCTAAGTAATATTTTTACTATTATTATCTCTTGGGTAACTATTGTAACCTTACACTGAGAAAGTCTAGTGTTTGTTAGGCCAAAATATCTTGATTAAATGATTTCAGAAGTTCCTAACCACAAAAGAAATTACTTTTATATTTATTAGACATTATACTGTATACATTATTGTTCCATGTTGGTTGAAGTGATAGTTGTATAAAATGTAAGTCATTTTAGCAATTTTAACAAAACATATTATGTTTGAACATTGATTGACTTGACTTATAAGTAGGGCTGGGTGGGCGATATGTATATATATATATATATATATATATAGGTGGGCATAGATTTAAAAAAAATCTAGATTAATATCACTGTAATCTTGGAATTTATCTAGAATTTAGATTAAAATGGCTCATTTAAATTCTGCCGAAGGCTTTGAGAATATGTGTGTTACCCAAATTAATGGCTAAAAGTAAGTCTTTGAGAACCGGTTTCTCAAGCCAGGTGGCGCATTAGACCAGGGGCTCATCTCCTGTTTCCAAAATGATTCACAAACTGCTTGAGAAACTGTTCTACTATGATAATTGGTGATAGAAATAAATTATGTTTTAATAAGACTTGTTTTTACTAACTGTCTATTTAAGTAAACATGAATTTTAGCTCAAAAACTTTTAAACCTGAAAATAAACTCGAAACAGCAATTTTTTTTTGATTACCTTAATCCGACTAAAGTCAAAACTGAACTAAACAGAAAGGGAATTAAGAGGTGGAGTATGCATATATTAGTGGCATTATTGAAGTAAACACCGCAATCAAACTATCACCGTCATGTAGGACTTTTTGCCATATTTTCCGACATCATCCACACAAGCATCGCGAAATGCGGAAGTTTTTTTTCTTTTCACTTTAAGTGCAACATATGTAACCAATTGAGGCTATTTATAAGTGTGAATTTTACTCAAAACACATTTTGTTCAAAACAACATAAACTTAAATAGGTCCTAGAAACCAGCAGTATTTATAAATGAGGCTTATTATGATCTTGTTGTTCTCTTTTGTATGGTAGATCAGTACGGTATTTTAAGTTTCTGGCAGTTATATTTATTTGTCATTCAGTCATAAATCACTTGATTTCTGTGGACTAGGCATGGGATAATAACCAGTTTCAAGGTTTACCACACTTTGGAAAAGTCAAGGTATTCAAACCGCAAAAAAAAGTGTCATACCGTACCTAAGGTATTCTGTATGTAAATAATTTTTTTAAATTGTTTTTATTTTATTGTTTTATGTGTATGAAATAGGTTTTTTTTAAACTAATGAAGAGAGCAGAGGCCAATGGTTTATTTTAATCATTTAGCCTGACATGTTTACTGTTCCAAAATATCATAAATTATTCCAAAACTAAAATATATTTGTGTTTAATGGGGAAAAAGTTGTTGTTTTTTACTAAGACATTTAAAAAGAGCATATTTTAGAGAAGTAATCACAATGCCGTCATACCATTAAACCGTGATAGGCTATCATACCGTCAGAATCTTATACCTGCCTATTCCTAATTTGTACTTTAAAAGGGTGGTCCAGAGTGTATTTTTAAGGCTTGGTTATGTTTATAAGATGCAAAGCAATGTGTGCTCATGCTTTATTTGTAAAAATCACATTATGTATTTCATATATTTTACTTAAACTGTATAAAGCTACTCAGCTAACATGAAAATGTCTGGCATATTTCCTAGTTCCTCTGAAAGTCTCGCCCTCAAGAGGCTATGATTGGTCAGCTAACATAATGTGCTGTGATATGCGGATCAGCTCCAGTAGTAATATGTAAACGTTTGCATATTTTTTTCGAGTTTGTTATTTGAGATGTAGAATGCAGGGAAAGCGACCATATAGAGAGAAACTGCAGCGCTGGTGAAAATTGTGGATGTTTACAGTGGTTTGATGGAGTCATATGCATTTAGC